GAACCTGAAGCTGGAGAGGCGGAAAGCTTGGAACTCGCTGTCCCCCTGAACAAGGACCACCTGTTTGGCAGGGAAGGAGCAGCCCAACTGATAGGCCTGGTAGCAGCATCCATCCCGCAAGCAGTACAGGAAAGGATCTGAGTGAGTACAACTGTACCCCCTGGGTGGTTAGGGGAAGGAGCACTCTGGTGGGAAACCAGATTAGCCCCCTACTAGGGACTGATCACCTCATCTAAAGGAACAGCAGCCGAATCCCCTGTTCAGGGAGAAAGTCTTCAGATTGCTGGGTGAAGAGGAGTTCGTCGAGGGTCTGGGGTGGTACAACAAGGAGATGCTGGCTAGCACGCCAACAGAGACTGCATCAGAGAAGAGAAGCTTGTGAATAGTTCAGGATGTTGTCCTCAGATATCTGTTCCCTTGGGCATCCTATACCCTCCTTACCCTATCCAAGTTCTAAGCCCCTCAATAAAATAACAAAACCAACACTCAAGGACTGATTTCTGTCTCCGGATTAAAGCTTGTGCGGAAAATGCTAAATGACTGGCTGTGCAGGACTAAAGGGGAACCCAATTCATCAGCAATCCCTAAGGGGGGCAGTGTTACACAAGATTTAACATTTGGCATCAATTCTGTACATGTGTGGAGGAAACAAGGCACCGCTCATCACCTGCCCAATACTGTAAGAATTGGGTGCAATATAGACATGGAAGCTGTATGTGACAGCAATCTTGATAAGGTCTCAGCATTTTGGTTTCATGAGCAGTGTTCCTATTCTTCCCCCTACCCCTTTGCAAACTATGGAATTTGTAGCTGTAACCTTTAACGAACTTCAAAATAGCCTCTTATCTTAACACAAATAGATGCCAGCGTCCAGGGCTGTAAACAGCTAATTAGTCTTGGCAGGATGTCTGTTTCCATGAACCATGAAAAAACACTTTCCTCTGCCCTATCGTAAAAAAACAATAACTCAGTCAAGCCGTCACACATGACCTGTAAGGCCATTAGAACTCTCGGAATGCAGAATGTGCCATAAAACATGAAATTTATAGAATTCAACAGGAACAGGGCACATTAATATTAGGTATATATTTGAATGGGGAATATCATACCGAACAAATCAAGGTCATACATGACTATGTTAGCACATAGGAAAGGGGGGAAGCAGTCTCTGCCCTCCTGGGTGACAAAAGTACTCTGTTTGGTATCCCTGGGTTCGAAATATAATTCTGAATAATAATCTGCCAGTTGCTAGAATACCACCTGCACGTATTGGAAGTTGTTAATATTAGAATTAAACTTTAGTTGAGACTTGGTCATAAATTTGGTGACCTCCTAGCACCCATCCCTGAAACCGGATTATTGGTCAGTTGTGCTTTGTCCACACCCCCTTGATATCATAGAAAAGGACTGACAGGCCTGGTGTGAAGGGGAGCTCTGGTTTAACATCAACCAAGAAACATCTTAACGGATTTGAGAACCAAGGCAGCCTTTTTGCTCGGACATTTGGACTCGGCTAAACCAGGACTTTGCAAGTATTCTGCCTTCTTAACTCCTTCCTTTTATTTCTCGGTTGCATTATTGTTCTCTTTATGTCTTTGTAACATCTTTTTCTGTAAATATTCAAATGCACCGTTTTGACATTTGTAGTAATAAATCCTATTTTGAAAAGTTTTGAACTGTCTCTAAAGCTTTTAATGCAAACTAAAGAATCCCTGTCTCCTGAAGAGTGCTCCTGTATACGATAATCCTCTGAATATCCCTGTCTGTGGTGACAGTGAGTGTTGCAGACGTTTATTGTTCACATTTGTTCTTGCTAACATTTTGAAGGTTTGATAGTCCCAAAGCTATCCGGAGGCAGTGAGTTTGAAGGGTTAATTGCGTAATTAACCCTTCATAGTGACAATCACTCTCAGACTGCTGGCACCTAGATTGTGGTCCTGCAAGCTGGAAAATCTTTGTGCAGGGTGCAGCTGAGAGAGGCATTGTTAAGCAAGTGACAGCGCGGTGTGAGATTGGCTGGTCCTTTGTCACAAGCTGGTGAGAAGGGCTGGGGTTGGGCACCGCGTTAGTCACACAAACCTACCCAAACTAACTAAACTAAAAAATGCTAAATGACTGGCTGTGCAGTCATGTGGGGACCCAATTCATCGGCAATCCCTAAGGGGGGCAGTGTTACACAAGATTTAACAAACTAAAACCAGGACAGGGAGAAGGTACACAGGAGCAGGTACAAACAGGCGGGATCAAGAACAGGAAGTTACAGGGAGCAGGGTACACGGGGCACACAGCCAGAATACTGAGGAAAAGTGGAATAGCAGAGGAGGGGCTAAATACCCTCCCAGCAGCGAGCATCAGGCGAACACTAATTGCTGGGAACTGCAGGATGCTGGGAGTCACCTGCTGGTGGACACCAGAACTACAACCTTCAGGTCTGGAACCCACAGTGCCCCCTGCAGGTGATCCAGTTTCTGACAGTTACTGCCATTGAAGGAGCAGCCTCCAGAAACCTCCAACCAGCCTTGATATACAAGTCCTTATCAGAGATTCACATGCAGAGAAGTCAAAAGAGATTTCCCATAGAAGATATGCTAGATTCCCTACTTACAAAGCATGGTAACCAGTAAGATGCTCTGCCGCTGGGTTCAAATCACAGGCTAGATGTAACATGCGGGATCAAGAACAGGAACAGAGTCACAAAAGGCACACAGGCAGAACACTGAGGCAAAATTTAATAGCAGATGAGGGGCTAATTACCCTCCCAGCAGCCAGGATCAGGTGAACACTAATTGCTGGGAACTGCTGGATGCTGGGAGTCACCCCCTGGTGGACATTAGAACTACAACCTTCAGGTCTGGACCCACAGTGCCCCCAGCAGGTGATCCAGTTTCTGACAGTTACCCCATTAAAGGAGCAGCCTCCAGAAAGCTCCAACCAGCCTTGATTCTACAAATCCATATGAGATATTCACTGGCTGATAAGTCAAAAGAGAAGATTTCCCTTAGTCAGAAGACATGCTAGATTCCCTACTTACAAAGTATGGTAACCAGTGAGATGCCCTGCCGCTGGGATCAAATCACAGGCTAGATGTAACATGCGGAATCAAGAACAGGAACAGAGTCACAAAAGGCACACAGACAATACTGAGGAAAAATGGAATAGCAGATGAGGGGCTAATTACCCTCCCAGCAGCCAGCATCCGGTGAACACTAATTGCTGGGAACTGCTGGATGCTGGGAGTCACCAGCTGGTGGACACCAGAACTACAACCTTCAGGTCTGGAACCCACAGTGCCCCCAGCAGGTGATCCAGTTTCTGACAGGTACCCCCATTGAAGGAGCAGCCTTCAGAAAGCTCCAACCAGCCGTGATATACAAGTCCTTATCAGAGATTCACTGGCAGAGAAGTCAAAAGAGATTTCCCATAGAAGACATGTTAAATTCCCTACTTACAAAGCATGGTAACCAGTGAGATACCCTGCCGCTGGGTTCAAATCACAGGCTAGATGTAACATGCGGGATGAAGAGCAGGAACAGAGTCATAATGTGATAGCAGAGGAGGGGCTAAGTACCCTCCCAGCAGCCAGCATCCTGTGAACACTAATTGCTGGGAACTGCTGGATGCTGGGAGCCACCCGCTGGTGTACACCAGAACTACGACCTTCAGGTCTGGAACCCACAGTGCCCCCAGTGGACGATCCAGTTCCTGACACACACCCCCATCCCCACACCCTGTTCAGTATGTCAGCTGAAGGATGACGCACCGTGTCAAGGGTGTGGCTGGATGACATCATCACGTACTCAGGAACTGGAAGTCGGCCATCTTTGGTGAGGAATTTTTTTTTTTCATTTAATGACGAGTTTTCAATGGCATTAATATTTGACTGCGCGGAGTTTATATAACAAACCCTTCAGTTCCAGTTGTGGTGCCGGCCGCAGTCAATGTGAATGACAGAAACACACTGTGCCTGTGACCAGCTCTGATTTCCGGGACACAGCCTGGGACCAGCTTTTGTCGGGACATCTGTTCAATATTCATGACTGTCCCAGCCAATTCGGGACTATGTTATCACAAGGGCTCCTGTACAATATGTGTTGTGGACTAGAAAGGCCCCTGTATACAATGTGTTGTGTCAGGGGGCCCCTGTATACTATGTGAAGGGGCCCCTGTATACTATATGTGTCAGGGGTGTCATGTGCTGTGTCAGGGGCCACTGTATACTATGTGCTGTGTCAGGGGCCCCTGTATACTATGTGCTGTGTCAGGGGCCACTGTATACTATGTGCTATGTGCAGTGTCAGGGGCCCCTGTATACTATGTGCTGTGTCAGGGGCCCCTGTATACTATGTGCTGTGTCAGGGGCCACTGTATACTATGTGCTGTGTCAGGGGCAACTGTATACTATGTGCTGTGTCAGGGGCCACTGTATACTATGTGCTGTGTCTGGGGCCCCTGTATACTATGTGCAGTGTCAGGGGTCCCTGTATACTATGTGCTGTGTCAGGGGCCCCTGCATGCTATGTGCGGTGTCAGGGGCCCCTGCATGCTATGTGCGGTGTCAGGCGCCCCTGCATACTATGTGCGGTGTCAGGGGCCCCTGTATACTATGTGTTCTGTCAGGGGTCCCATGTGGCTGCTACCCACCAACTCCCTTCACAGAAGCATTGATTTCTGCAGAGACCTCCTCCGGCCGCAGGGGTCGCTGTAAAGGCTTAATCACTCCCAGAACATTCACCAGGCCAGTTTTTCCTTTGTTTGGTACTCTATGGTCAGCTGAGCCGCTCTGCCATTGGCTCTTGTCGTCCGCTGTGTCTGCGGCTGAATCTACCTGCGGCGGCCATTTTTTTGTAGCCCAATCACACAACGCTTTCCTATAACGTCGGCTTCTCAAAAATGGCGCCCGTTCCGGAGACAGATATCGACAGCGGTTCGGATAACTAGGAGGCCTGCGACTGGGATGTCATAGCAGGCAGCGGAGGTGACCCTCGGGTGTTCGTGCAAATATGGGCGCTCATCTGGTGCGGAGATATATGGGGGAACCAGAACCGGACCCCAGAACCATACCGGCCAGTCCTGTGGGAGAACAATTCCAGGAAAGGGGTGTGTATGGGGGGGAGGGGACTACTACTCCCAGCATGTCCTCTCTTGAGAATGGGAGGGGCTGCCGGTCTCATCGGGCCCTGCAGAAGGACTACTACTCCCAGCATGCCACACATGGGGGGGGGGGGCGCAAATACATTCCCATAGGACACTAAAGGGACTACTACTCCCAGCATATCATGCCTAGGGTGGGGGGAGGGGTATTATTCCCAATGTGCTCTACAGAGGGACTACTACTCCCAGCATGTCCTATCTGAGAATGGAGGGGGGAGAGGTTGACAGTCTCATAGGGCCCTGCAGAGGGACTACTACTCCCAGCATTATATGCCTAGGGTGGGGGATATTATATTCCCAATGTGCTCTACAGAGGGACTACTACTCCCAGCATGTCATGCCTAGGGTGGGGGGGGGGATATTATATTCCCAATGTGCTCTACAGAGGGACTACTATCCCAGCCATGCCATTGGGGGGGATATTACATCCCCATTGTAGAGGGACTACTACTCCCAGCATGCCCTTTCTGAGGTGTGTGTGGGGGGGGAGATTGTAGTCCTAGAGTGCACTGTAAAGTGACTACTACTCCCAGCATGCTGCTGTGGAATATTCTGAGAGGAAGGGTGCTGGGTCAGCACGGTCTGGCTGTGGAAGCCCAGCTCCAGGGTTGGGATTTTATTGCCCGCTGTGTCCCCATTGGGGGGATTTCCCCTCATTTCCTGTCCCAGAGGCAGCACAAATCCCCTCCTAGACCGGTGTCCCCGCTGGAGCGTTTGCCCTCACTTTCTGTTCCGGTGACAACCTAGTTTCCTTTTATTTCCTGTCCCTATTGATGATGGGTGATCAGGACACAGAGAGAGGGTGATTGTCCCTGAATGCGGGGGTCTGATTTCCCCCCCCCCCCCCCCGGTGTGGAGGACCCCCACTATAACCTTGTCTCCCCTCTCTCTGGCAGAGATGGTGGCCACCCAGGAAGAGATGAACTTGGCTAAGCTGCCGCTGGCTCACCGGGATTACTGCGCCCATCTCCTCATCAAACTCATGAAGTGTAAGAGGGACATGGGGCTCAATATCTTCGGCTGCATGGACGAGCGCCATGAGTATGATTACTGCCAGCACTTGGAGTGAGTATACCGCCATTCATAAAGGGGGACTCCGGGCATTACTGCTCACCCCTCCCCCAGGGGGACACCGGGACGATGCAGAGGTGTAATCAGAGCATGGCTTACCTTCCGTGTCCCCCCCCCCCCCCCCCCAAAAAAAAAACCCCCTCAAACTTTACTCCCCAGCCTGACTGTCCCTGCCCCGCCCCTTTCATTGGATTGCAGTTCTGTCAGTCATGGAGGCTCAGCATATGTGGGCGTTCTGTATGCAAATACAACCTGCCTAGGAACGCCCCCTCCTCCAGACTGACTCCACCTGTGAAGGCATTGTGATATTTAATGCATCGGGTTACTATGTAAGGGCCCCTATACACTCTGCATTGTGCGCCGTAGGGGCCCCTATACACTCTGCATTGTGCGCCATAAGGGCCCCTATACACTCTGCATTGTGTACTATAAGGGCCCCTACACTCTCTGCTTTATGTATTATAAGGGCCCCTATACACTCTGCATTGTGTGCTATTACACTCTGCATTGTGTGCTATAAGGGCCCCTATACACTCTGCATTGTGTGCTATAAGGGCCCCTATACACTCTGCATTGTGTGCTATAAGGGCCCCTATACACTCTGCATTGTGTGCTATAAGGGCCCCTATACACTCTGCATTGTGTGCTATAAGGGCCCCTATACACTCTGCATTGTGTGCTATAAGGGCCCCACACTTGCATTGTGCACCATAGGGGCCCCTAAACACTCTGCATTTTGTGCTGTAGGGGCCCCTATACACTCTTCATTGTGTACTATAGGGGCCCCTATACACTCTTCATTGTGTACTATAGGGGCCCCTATACACTCTGCATTGTGTACTATAGGGGCCCCTAAACACTATGCATTGTGCACCATAGGGGCCCCTAAACACTATGCATTGTGCACCATAGGGGCCCCTAAACACTATGCATTGTGCACCATAGGGGCCCCTAAACACTATGCATTGTGCACCATAGGGGCCCCTAAACACTATGCATTGTGCCCATAGGGGCCCCTAAACACTATGCATTGTGCACCATAGGGGCCCCTAAACACTATGCATTGTGCCCCGTAGGGGCCCCTAAACACTATGCATTGTGCCCCGTAGGGGCCCCTAAACACTATGCATTGTGCCCCGTAGGGGCCCCTAAACACTATGCATTGTGCCCCGTAGGGGCCCCTAAACACTATGCATTGTGCCCCGTAGGGGCCCCTAAACACTATGCATTGTGCCCCGTAGGGGCCCCTAAACACTATGCATTGTGCCCCGTAGGGGCCCCTAAACACTATGCATTGTGCACCATAGGGGCCCCTAAACACTATGCATTGTGCCCCATAGGGGCCCCTAAACACTATGCCCTGTGTACTATAAGGGGCCCTATGCACTCTGCACTGTGTGCTATAAGGGCCCCTATACACACTATGCATTGTGTACTATAAGGGCCCCTATACACACTATGCATTATAGGAGCCACTATACATTGTGCACTGTAGGGGCCCCCTAGACTATGCATTGTGTACTATAAGGGCCCCTACACGCTCTGCATTGTGTACTATAAGGGCCCCTGTACGCTCTGCATTGTGTGCTATAAGGGCCCCTGTACGCTCTGCATTGTGTGCTATAAGGGCCCCTGTACACTCTGCATGTGTGTGCTATAAGGGCCCCTGTACGCTCTGCATTGTGTGCTATAAGGGCCCCTCTACGCTCTGCATTGTGTGCTATAAGGGCCCCTGTACACTCTGCATTGTGTGCTATAAGGGCCCCTGTACGCTCTGCATTGTGTGCTATAAGGGCCCCTGTACGCTCTGCATTGTGTGCTATAAGGGCCCCTGTACGCTCTGCATTTGTGCTATAAGGGCCCCTGTACGCTCTGCATTGTGTGCTATAAGGGCCCCTGTACGCTCTGCATTGTGTGCTATAAGGGCCCCCATACACTCTGCCTTATGTACTATAAGGGCCCCTAGTGGCTAAATGGTTAGCACTTCCGCCTGGCAGTACTAGGATCGTCGGTTCGTATCCCAACCAAAGACATGCTGGTGGGTGAATTGGCCCCTGTCTAAATTGACCCAAGGTTGTGTATGTAAGTTAGGGACTTTAGATTGTACGCTCCTCAGGGGCGGGGACTGATGTGAATGTACAATATATATGTAAAGCACTGCGTAAATTGATGTCGCTATAGAAGTACCTGAAATAAATAAATAAATAAACTCTGCATTGTGTGCTATAAGGGCCCCTGTACACTGCATTGTGTGCTATAAGGGCCCCTGTACACTGCATTGTGTGCTATAAGGGCCCCTGTACACAGCAGCTGAGGGTACATCTGCTGTGCTGATTCCCCCCCCACCCATAGTCCTCTAGCCGACCTGATGATGTCCTCCTCTTCGGTAGCGGTGGGGGGAGGGGACTCCCCCTGGACTGAGCTGCGCTTGTGTAATGGCCCAGTCCTGGCGAGCCCAGCCCATGTGACGACACGGAATGTGTGTCGTAGATCAGATTATTATGCCGATTACAGAAACACTCCAAGTAAAACTTATTCGTGTCACCTCCTCCCATGCTCGCCTCCAGGACTTCTACCGAGCTTCTCCCATCCAATGGAACTCCCTACCCCAACCTGTCCGGCTGTCTCCTAATCTATCCAACTTTAGACGATCCCTGAAAACCTTTCTCTTTAACCACCTCCGGTCCGGCTGTTGTTTATAAACGGCCTCCCCGCCCCCTGCTTGTGCGCGCTCCCGTGCCCACTGTGTTTCTCCGGACAGTGGAACACCGATCGTCGTACAGGACCTCTGTGCGAGGTCACGATCGTGTGATCACTGATTGGCCAATCAGTGACCACATGCAGAGTAGTAAGCAAGGTGTCACTTCTGACATCATTGCTTACTATGTGTGGAATCTGTGAACGATCACAGAGATCACATGGTACAGGGCCATTCACAACAGTCTTGTACCATGTGACGAGCTGTGACCAATCACAGCTCACACCGTATTTCTCAATGGGTGCAGAAATGCAGCTAGACAGGAGAAATGATTGTACAGCCTTTATGGGTGCAAAAGTAATCCGTGTGGAAAAAAAAAAAAAAAAAAAAATCTTCATCACCCCCCACAAGTAGTACATTGTCACCATGGACTCGCCTGTGAAAAAAGTGAAATGTCATTGCAGCAACTCAGAATGGTCCTCAGTAGTCTGTGTGGCCCCCACGTGCTTGTATGCATGCCTGACAACGTCGGGGGATGGGGGCTCCTAATGAGACCACGGATGGTGTCCTGGGGTATTTCCTCCCAGATCTGGACCAGGGCATCACTGAGCTCCTGGACAGTCTGAGGGGCAACCTGGCGGCGTCGGATGGGACCGCAACATGACATCCCAGAGGGGTTCTATTGGATTTAGGTCAGGCGAGTGTGGGGGCCATTCAGTGGTATCAATTCCTTCATCTTCCAGGAACTGCCTGCCTACTCCCCCCACATGAGGCCGGGCATTGTCCTGCCCCAGGAGGAACCCAGGACCCACTGCCCCGGGAGGAACCCAGGACCCACTGCCCCGGGAGGAACCCAGGACCCACTGCACCAGGAGGAACCTAGGACCCACTGCACCAGGAGGAACCTAGGACCCACTGCACCAGGAGGAACCCAGGACACACTGCCCCAGGAGGAACTCAGGACCCACTGAACCAGCATAGGGTCTGACAGTGGATCCAAGGACTTCATCCCGATACCTAATGGCAGTCAGGGTGCCATTGTCTAGCCTGTAGAGGTGTCTGTGAGTCCCTCCATGGAAGATGCCTCCCCAGACCATCACTGACCCACCACCACAACGGTCATACTGAGCCATGTTACAGGCAGCAGAATGTTCTCCACGGCTTCTCCAGACCCTTTCACGTCTGTCACATGTGCTCAGGGGGAACCTGCTCTCATCTGTGAATAGCACAGGGTGCCAGTGGTGGACCTGCCAATTCTGGGGTTCAATGGCAAATGCCAATCCAGGTCTATGGTGCTGGGCAGTGAGCACAGGGCCCACTAGAGGACGTCGGGCCCTCAGGCCACCCTCATGAAGTCTGTTTCAGATTGTTTGGTCAGAGACATTCACACCAGTGGCCTGCTGGAGGTCATTTTGTAAGGCTCTGGCAGGGCTCATCCTGTTCCTCCTTGCACAAAGGAGCAGATACCGGTCCTGCTGATGGGTTAAGGACCTTCTATGGCCCTGTCCAGCCCTCCTAGAGGAACCGCCTGTCTCCTGGAATCTCCTCCGTGCTCCTGTTCCTCCTGGAATCTCCTCCATGCTCTTGTCTCCTGGAATCTCCTCCGTGCTCTTGTCTCCTGGAATCTCCTCCGTGCTCTTGTCTCCTGGAATCTCCTCCATGCTCTTGAGACTGTGCTGGGAGACACAGCAAACCTTCTGGCAATGGTACGTATTGATGGGCCATCCTGGAGGAGTTGGACTGCCTGTGCAACCTCTGTAGGGTTCAGGTATGGCCTCATGCTACCAGTAGTGACACTGACCTGAGCCAAATGCAAAACTAGTGAAAAACAGTCAGAAAAGATGAGTAGGAAAAAAATGTCAGTGGCCTCCACCTGTAAAACTATTCCTGTTTTGGGGGTCGTCTCATTGTTGCCCACCTAGTGTACCTGTTGGTAATTTCATTAATACCAATGCAGCTGAAACTGATGAACAACCCCCTCTGTGACTTACCTGACCAGATCCATATCCCGGGAGTGTCATGGATTTGATGCGACTCGGATTACAAAGTCTTCCTTTAATTTTTTTGAGAGGTAGGTGTGTGGGATGTTTTTGTGGAATGGTTCACCTTTCATATCTATAGGAAACTGAATATGTTGTTTTACCAGGTGAGGGTTCACATATACTTTAACCCACGGGTGTCACCACTTGCCCTTCAAAAGGTTTTACCCCCCTTCATGACCAGACCATTTTTTTATAATTATTTTTTAAATACAGCGCTGCTCTCATTTAACTGACAATTGCGCGGTCATGCAACCCTTTTCATAAATTAAGTTCATATAATTTTTTTAAACACACAAATAGAGCTTTCTTTTGGTGGTATTTGATCACCGCTGGGTTTTTTTAATTTTTTTCTATATTAATGAAAATAGGCCAGACATTTAGAAAAAAAACAATATATTTTTTTTTTGCTATAAAAGATACAATAAAAAAATTCTTCATAAAGTTAGGCAAAAATGTATTCTGGTATGTTTTTTGCTGAAAAAACAAAAACAAAAAAAAAAACAACAAAACAATAAATGTACTCTTTATTAGGTCCACTTTTGCTAGTGCTGAGAAAATCTCCCCCCACACCATCCATGAAACCACCACCAGCCTGAACCATTGATACAAGGCAGGATGGATCCACCACACCATCCATGACACCACCACCAGCCTGAAGCATTGATACAAGGCAGGATGGATCCACCACACCATGACACCACCACCAGCCTGAACCATTGATACAAGGCAGGATGGATCCACCACACCATCCATGACACCACCACCAGCCTGAACCATTGATACAAGGCAGGATGGATCCACCACACCATGACACCACCACCAGCCTGAACCATTGATACAAGGCAGGATGGATCCACCACACCATGACACCACCACCAACCTGAACCATTGATACAAGGCAGGATGGATCCACCACACCATGACACCACCACCAACCTGAACCATTGATACAAGGCAGGATGGATCCACCACACCATGACACCGCCACCACCAGCCTGAACCATTGATACAAGGCAGGATGGATCCACCACACCATGACACCGCCACCACCAGCCTGAACCATTGATACAAGGCAGGATGGATCCCCCACACCATGACACCACCACCACCACCAGCCAGAACCATTGATACAAGGCAGGATGGATCCCCCACACCATGACACCACCACCAGCCAGAACCATTGATACAAGGCAGGATGGATCCCCCACACCATGACACCACCACCACCAACCTGAACCATTGATACAAGGCAGGATGGATCCCCCACACCATGACACCACCACCACCAACCTGAACCATTGATACAAGGCAGGATGGATCCCCCACACCATGACACCACCAGCCTGAACCATTGAGACAAGGCAGGATGGATCCATGCTTTCATGTTGTCTACACCAAATTCTGACCCTACCATCTGATTGTCGCAGCTGAAATCCAGACTCATCAGATCAGGCAACGTTTCTCCAATTTTCTATTCAATTTTGGTGATCTGTGTGAATTGTAGCCTCCGTTTCCTGTTCTTTACTGACAGGAGTGGCACCCGGTGTGGTCTTCTACTACTGTAGCCCATCTGCTTCAAGGTTGGACGTGTTGTGTGTCCAGAGATGGTATTCTGCACACCTTGGGTGTAACGAGTGGTTATTTGAGTTACTAGTTGCCTTTCTATCATCTGGAACCAGTCTGCCCATTCTCCTCTGACATCAACAAGGCGTTTTCCTCCACACAACTGGATATATATTCTCTTTTTTGGACCATTTTCTGTAAACCCTACAGATGGTTGTGCGTGAAAATCCCAGTAGATCAGCAGTTTTTGGAAATACTCAGACCAGCCTGTCTGGCACCAACAACAATGCCACGTTCAAAGTCACTTAAATCCCTTTTCTTCCCCATTCTGATGCTCAGTCTGAACTTCAGCAAGTCGTCTTCACCACGTCTACATGCCTAAATGCATTAGGTTGCTGCCGTGTGATTGGCTGATAAGCAATTGGTGTTACCAAGCAATTGGACCTAATAAAGTGGGCAGTGAGTGTATATTGATTTGTTTGCGCAAAAGTTATAGTGTCTCCAGACTATGGTATAGATCGGGGGTCTCCAAACTATGGTATAGGTCGGGGGTCTCCAGACTATGGTATAGGTCGGGGGGGTCTCCAAACTATGGTATAGGTCGGGGGTCTCCAGACTATGGTATAGGTCGGGGGTCTCCAAACTATGGTATAGGTCGGGGGTCTCCAGACTATGGTATAGGTCGGGGGTCTCCAAACTATGGTATAGGTCGGGGGTCTCCAGACTATGGTATAGGTCGGGGGTCTCCAAACTATGGTATAGGTCGGGGGTCTCCAGACTGTGGTACAGATCGGGGGGTCTCCAGACTGTGGCACAGATCGGGGGGGTCTCCAGACTGTGGCACAGATCGGGGGGGGTCTCCAGACTGTGGCACAGATCGGGGGGGGGTCTCCAGACTGTGGCACAGATCGGGGGGGGGGTCTCCAGACTGTGGCACAGATCGGGGGGGGGGTCTCCAGACTGTGGCACAGATCGGGGGGGGTCTCCAACTGTGGCACAGATCGGGGGGGGTCTCCAGACTGTGGCACAGATCGGGGGGGGTCTCCAGACTGTGGCACAGATCGGGGGGTCTCCAGACTGTGGTACAGATCGGGGGGTCTCCAGACTGTGGCCCTCCAGGTGTTGAGGTACTGCCAGTCCCATGAGGCCTTGCAAGACTCTGACAGCCACAGGCAAGACTCCCAGAGGCAGAGGCATGATGGGACTTGTAGTATCTCAACAGCTGGAGGGCCGTAGTTTGGAGACCCCTGGTATAGATACTGGATTTTTTTTTATTTTTAATCCGAGTAATGGTGGTGATCAGCGACTTATAACGGGACTGTAAGTACGGCAGACATTCTGACACTGGGGGGGGGGGGGGGGGGGGGGGACTGACTAACTGCCACTGACATCTCCAGTGACACCAATACAGTGATCAGTGCTAAATAATATACACTGACACTGTACTAATGACACTGGGCAGGAAGGGGTGACCATCTAGGGGCGATCAAGGGGTTAACTGTGTGTTATTTTACAATCTGTGAGTGTATGAGGGACCAGCCTCCTTGCACACGATTCTTTGATGATATTATGTACTGTGTTGTTTACATCAATTTGATATTTTGTTATGTTTTAGACCTGACACTTTATTATTATTTTTATTCCCTGAAGAAGGAAACTTGAATTTCCGAAATGTGTTGGATTTGTTCGGGATGATATCATTGTGCAAGCTTTTTTTTTTTTGGGTCGTCGGCCCCTCTTGCTGATCGATGTAACACGGACGGTCAAATCTCGTGCACGTTGTATATTTTGTTGAATGTGAATCATTGTGCTGCAGTTCAACTCGACTGAATCTTCTGATTTCGTTTTTAATGAAACTAATTTTGTAATAAACATTTTATTGTTTTATATTTTTGCATGCTCTGTGTGGGTTTTTTTGGCTATACAAAGTTCCAGGGGATGTTTCTTTTGTTTCTTTATTCTCTCTCAATTTTTTTTTATAAGGGGCTGTGCTGCTTTTTATTCCCTGCTTTGCAGATCCCCGTTGTTTACGTACACAGATCTCACTCGGGTCCCCGGCCATGAATCGCTGACTGGGACCCGGTGATTGGCATGTAAGGGAGCCAATGGCAGCGCAGCCGGGTGGGCGGCCCCTATCTGGAAATAAATGCGTGTGATTCTGCATAGCCGGCCCAAACTGTAGCAGTCACGTTGCAGTGCAACTATATGTGTGTGTGTGTATATATATAATATATATATATATAAAAATATAAATGTGATTTGAAGTTCTGGGTAAGGGGTGAGCGTGCCCTACCCTCGCCGCCATTTGCGGCCTTGGCCGTTAATCGCCTGGTCCCTGCCGGTGATTCCCCACCATCACCCGGCGATCTCCGAGTATTACCGACGGAAGGAGAGACCTGTGTATAAACAACACAGATCTCTCCCCTGTCAGCTCCTGCACACTGCTTTGTATGGCTCTGCATAGCAGAGCCATACAAAGCAGTGTGCTTACAGTGTAAAACACAGCACACAGTTAACCCTTTGATCGCCCCAGATGTTAACCCCTCCCTGCCCAGTGTCATTAGTACAGTGTCAGGGCTTTTTATTAGCACTGATCACTGTGTTGGTGACACCAAATCAGTCCCCCCCCCCCAGTGTCAGAATGCCCCCGCGGCAGTCCCGCTATAAGTCGCTGATCGCCGCCATTGCTAGTAAAAATTTAAAAAAGTATCTATACCGCCATTCGTAAACGCTATAACTTTCATGTAAACCAATTAATTTATACGTATTGGGATTGTTTTTAGCAAAGACACGGAGCAGAATACATTTTGGCCAAAATGTTATGACTAAATTTGATTTAAAAAAAAAAAAAAAAAAATTACTGGACATGTTTAATAGCAAAAAGTCAAAATGTTTTTTTTTTTTTTTTTTTTTTTTTTTAAAGCATAAAAAATTGCACAGATAATCAAATACCACCGAAAGAAAGCTCTATTTGTGGGGAAAAAAAGGACGTAAATTTTATTTTGGGTGCAGCATTGCATGACCGCGCAATTGTCAGTTAAAGTAGCACCTGCACCACGCTATTTACGTTTTGTTGTGCGTTTACCATCCTTCTGCTTTCTCTCCGCCCTCCAGTTACGTCCAGCGAATGAAGCAGTACGAGCGAGAACGGCGCCTGCTAGTGAGGAAAGCGTACAAAGAGCAAATGAACGCCGAGTGACGTCCGTCCCTTCCTCCTCCCTCAGTGGAGGAATAATCATTCAATGACTTTATAATAAAGATTTCTCTTGGGGTGATGCGGATGTCTTTTGTGTTTTGTGCGGTTGTGACGACATCGAATATTAACCACAACGGAGAAAAGACGAGCAGCCACGCGCGGGCAGATCATTGGCTGCTCCGACGTCGACATCAATAAAACTTTATTGTCCCGGACAAATGGGGTGGATTTACTAAAGGCAAGTAGACTGCGCACTCTGCAAGGGCGGTAATCATCAGCTAACCATGTGCAAGCAAAAATGCTTTTTGTTTTCGTTTTGGTTTTTTTTTTTTTTTTTTTTCTTTTTCCTCATTTTTTTCTTTTTTTTTTTCGGTATTTTTTTTTTTCGGTCTCTTTTTTTTTCTCTTTCTTTTCTCAGTTTTTTTTTTTTTCTTTTTTTCTCGGTTTTTTTTCTTTTTTCTCTCTTTTTTTCTCTTTTCGTTTCAGTTTTTTTTTTTTCTTTTTTTTTCTCGTTTTTTTTTTTTTTTTTTTTTACATTTTCCTTGCACGTGATTGGGTATTATTTGCAAGCTTCATCTTCACTAAGCTGGAGCAACTGTACTTGCAAAGTGCACAGTCTATATTTTCCTTTAGTAAGTTGACCCCCCCAAAAATACAGAAGGTCTCTGTGACTAATGCAGGCCACAGACGGGTCGAAAACCATCTGTTTTTAAAAAAAAAAACACATGAAAAATCGGTCGTTCGATCGACCGACGTTACCGCCAGCGGTAAAAAAAAAATGGCCGATTTTCATCCCGTCTATGGCCGGCATTTAATCCCATCATTACTTTTGTGCCTCGCAGAGACAGGAGCACACGGGAGCAATACATGAGAATAATAATAAGAAGAAAAAGAATTCGAATTCCAGTCCGCTATTATATTTTCCATGAAAGTCTTGCGGTTGCAACAATGTATCTATTTGTATCCATTTCAGATACAGATGTTTTTATTCAGATACAAATAGATACATTGTTGCAACTGCAAGACTTTTTATGTAAAATATAATAGCGGACTGGAATTTGAATTCTCTCAGATTTTTTTTTTATCGGTAAAACGATCGGCCAATTTGCCCATCATTGTTGGGAAAATCGGGTGATTGTCAAAATCGGCCGCGAATATTCCAACGTGGCCGATAAAGAAAAAATGTGCAAAAAGCCTAAAAAACGGCCGACCAATTAACCCACTAACGTTGTGAAAATCGGCCGATTTTTGACCCATCTATGGCTGACATTAGCCCCGGATTCACACATTTGCGCTGCGATCCCTGAGTGCATTGCAATCGCATTGTGTTTGCGATCTGCCGCGGGTGTCAATAAAGTTAATGACTCTCCCAAACGCATCACAATCACAGTGCGATTTGCCCGCACTGGATCACACCCTACAAAACGCGACGTGGCTCCAAATAAGGGAATTCTTAAGGTGACATTTTTAAGGTGACAACTTTGTGGGAGGAGTTTGGGGATGGCCCCTTCCTGTTTCAACATGACTGCATGCCACTGCACAAAGCAAGGTCCATAAAGACATGGAGGAGCCAGTTTGGGGTGGAGGAACTTGACTGTCCTGCACAGAGTCCTGACCTCAACCCCATAGAACACCTTTGGGATGAATTAGAGCGGAGACTGCGAGCCAGGCCTCCTCCCCCGACATCAGTGCCTGACCTGACAAATGTGCTTCTGGAAGAATGGTCCAACCTTCCCATAGACACCCTCCTAAACCTTGTGGACGGCCTTCCCAGAAGAGTTGAAGCTGTTATAGCTGCAAAGGGCGGGGCCAACTCAATATTGAACCCTACGGACTAAGACTGGGGGGCCATTACAGGTCATGTGTGTGGAAAGGGCGGGGGCCAACTCAATATTGAACCCTACAGACTAAGACTGGGGGGCCATTAAAGGTCATGTCCATGGTAAAGGGCGGGGCCCCATACTTGGGGCAATATAGTGTATACAGTGGGGATCGAAAGTTTGGGCACCCCAGCTAAAAATTTGTATTAATGTGCATAAAGAAGCCAAAGAAAGATGGAAAAATCTCCAAAAGGCATCAAATTACAGATTCGACATTCTTATAATATGTCAACAAAAGTTAGATTTTATTTCCATCATTTACACTTTCAAAATAACAGAAAACAAAAAAATGGCGTCTGCAAAACGTTTGGGCCCCCTGCAGAATTTATAGCATGCACTGCCCCCTTTGCCAAGCTGAGACCTGCCAGTGTCATGGATTGTTCTCAATCATCGTCTGGGAAGACCAGGTGATGTCAATCTCAAAGGTTTTAAATGCCCAGACTCATCTGACCTTGCCCCAACAATCAGCACCATGGGTTCTTCTAAGCAGTTGTCTAGAAAACTGAAACTGAAAATAGTTGACGCTCACAAAGCTGGAGAAGGCTATAAGAAGATAGCAAAGCGTTTTCAGATGTCAATATCCTCTGTTCGGAATGTAATTAAGAAATGGCAGTCATCAGGAACAGTGGAAGTTAAAGCAACATCTGGAAGACCAAGAAAAATATCAGACAGAACAGCTCGCAGGATTGTGAGAAAAACAATTCAAAACCCACGTTTGACTGCACGATCCCTCCAGAAAGATCTGGCAGACACTGGAGTTGTGGTACACTATTCCACTATAAAGAGATACTTGTACAAATATGGTCTTCATGGAAGAGTCATCAGAAGAAAACCTCTTCTACAACCTCACCACAAAAATCATCGTTTGAACTTTGCAAATGAACATATAGACAAGCCTGATGCATTTTGGAAACAAGTTCTGTGGACCGATGAGGTTAAAATTGAACTTTTTGGCCGGAATGAGCAAAGGTACGTTTGGAGAAGAAGGGGCACAGAATTGAATGAAAAGAACCCCTGTCCAACTGTTAAGCATGGGGTTGGATCAATCATGCTTTGGGGTTGTGTTGCAGCCAGTGGCACAGGGAACATCTCACGAGTAGAAGGAAAAATGGATTCAATAAAATTTCAGCAAATTTTGGATGGTAACTTGATGCCATCTGTGAAAAAGCTGAAGTTAAAGAGAGGATGGCTTCTACAAATGGATAATGATCCTAAACACACCTCGAAATCCATGGGGGATTACATCAAGAGGCGTAAACTGAAGGTTTTGCCATGGCCTTCACAATCTCCTGACCTCAACATCATTGAAAATCTATGGATAGACCTTAAAAGAGCAGTGCGTGACAGACAGCCCAGAAATCTCAAAGAACTGGAAGACTTTTGTAAGGAAGAAGGGCAAAGATACCTCAAACAAGAATTGAAAGACTCTTGGCTGGCTACAAAAAGCGTTTACAAGCTGTGATACTTGCCAAAGGGGGCAGTACAAGATATTAACTCTGCAGGGGGCCCAAACTTTTGCAGACGCCATTTTTTTGTTTTCTGTTATTTTGAAAGTGTAAATGATGGAAATAAAATCTAACTTTTGTTGACATATTATAGAATGTCTAATCTGTAATTTGATGCCTTTTGGAGATTTTTCCATCTTTCCTTGGCTTCTTTATGCACATTAATACAAATTTTTAGCTGAGGTGCCCAAACTTTCGATCCCCACTGTATATATTGTTTTGCTTTTCCAACAGAACAGAATTAAATTGTAATCTAAAACTGGAGTGATGGCGCCATCTTGTGATCAAATTTAAAAACTACAAGATCCTCAACACAGCTCAGAGCATATTGTGTATAGCATCCATTCTCAACCAAGGTTCCTCCAGGGAGTGCCAGGGGTTCCTTCACCTGTGGCTGATTGGTCTCCCATTTGATGGTTCCTGATTGGTTCCAGGTCTAATGTCACTTGGCAGAGCCAATCATCTTGTTAGCTGACTGTTGAGATGACATTCCAGCATTCTTCCCACTGACCACCAATGTACAGGGTATTATCCCAATGCCCTCTGATAGCAGGAGTTCCCTGAGACCTGAAAATTATTTGAAGGGTTCCTCTGGGGTATAAAGGTTGAGGAAGGCCACTGTATAGGTTTTACAGCTGGCTTCCAGGTATGGCTTTATTTTGCAGTTATATTGATCCAATGTGGACCCGTGTAAGTATACATATTCCATACCCGGCCAATCCTTGTGGAAGCGGACAATCACTCTTGTAACTGCCGATCAATCAGGATGGCTGAAGACCGGCACCTGGAAGAAGCCGGGGGGGGGGGGGGGGGGTTGAGGTGGAGATGCTGCCAAGGGACCCCGCGGGCATTAGACGGTTGGAACCAAGGTAAGGATTGCAGACTTTAGTTCTGCTTTAAAGTGAACAACAAAATGGTGGGCGCTGTCAGTGCTGACTTGTATTCATTTTGAAGATGCATGGTCAGGAGAGAAAGGAGAGGATGGAGAGAAGATGAAGTGAGGAGAGGCCAAGAAGGAATGAGGAGAGAAGAAGATGAGGAAAAGGTAGGGTGGAGGAGAAGAAGAATAAGAGGAGTGGAAGGAGGAGACTGAAGGAGAGGAGAGGGGAGGAGAAGAGAGGTAGGGGGAGGGAATGGGAGGGAGTGGAAAGGAAGGAGGGGGGAGAAGGAATGGAGGGGGAGAGGAGAACGGAGAGAATGGAGGGGGAGAGGAGAATGGAGGGGGAGAGGAGAAGGGAGAGGAAGGGGGGGAGAGAGAGGGAGAGGAAGGAGGGGAGGGAGAGGAGAGGAAGGAGGGGAGGGGAGAAGAGGAAGGAGAGAAGAGGGGAGAAGAGGAGGGGAGGGAGAGAAGAGAGGGAGAAGAGGAAGGGAGAAGAGGGGAGAGAGAGGAGGGAGAAGGGAGAGAAGAGGAGGAAGGAGAAGGAGGGGAGAAGGAGGAGGGAGGGGAGAAAGTGGGGGAGAGGAGAGGAGGGAGAGAAGAGGAAGGGGGAGGGAAAGAAGAGGGGAGGGGAGAAGAGGAAGGAGGAGAGGGGGAGGGAAAGAAGAGGGGAGGGGAGGGGAGAAGAGGAAGGAGGAGAGGGGAGGGAAAGAAGAGGGGAGGGGGAGAGGAGTAGGCAAGAGATTAGAGAAGAGAGGGGAGGGGGAGGGGGGAGGAGTGGGGAGGGTATTACAGAAGAGAGGAGAAGGGGAGGGGGGAAGATGGGGAGAGGAGAGGGGCGAAGGAAGGGGGAGAGGGGAGGGGATTAGGGAGGGGAGAGGAGAATTGAAGAGAGGGTGGGGAGAGAAGAGAGGAGAGGGGAGAGAAGAGAGAGGGAGGGGAAGAAGAGGGAAGCGGATAGAGAGGAGAGAAGAGAGGAAGGAGGAGAGGAGGGGACTGGAGAAGAGGAGATGAAGGAGGAGGGCAGTAGGGAGAGGAGATGAAGGAGGAGGGGAGAGGAAGAGAAGAACAGAGGAGGGGAAGGTGGAGGGGGTAGAGGAGAAGGGAGTGGAGAAGGGAGGGAGAGGAGAGGAAAGGGGGAGATGAGGGGAGAAGAGAGAGGAGGAGAGGGGATGGGAAAGGAGAAGCAGAAGAGAGGAGAAGAGGGGAGGGAGAGGAAAACAGAGAGGAGGGGAGAGGAAAGAAAGGAGGGAAGCAGAGGAGATGAAGTAGGGGACTGAAGGAGGAGAGGAGAAGGGAGGGGAGAGGGGGAATGAGAGGAGAGGAAGGAGGGGGACTGAAGGAGGAGAGAAGGGGAAAGAGGAGAGGGAGGGAGAGCAAGGTGGAGAGAAGAGATGGGAGGGAAGAGGAGAGGGGGAGGGGGAGGGGAAAGCTGTATGTATCGGAGTTGTATGGATTGCACTCATGTTGCACAGACAATAATGTACCGGTTTCCGGTCACCCAATATATATATATAAGCAGTGTCAGTCACCGTGAGTATAAAGTGCGCTCTGTAGGATCTTCCTTTGATCCCAGTACTTGGTGTTCTCTCACTTCTCTGTACATCACAGACCACACACCAATGCGTCTTCTATTCCAAGTACCTAAAAGCAAATAAAGGAGACATAGTGCGCGATCCTTCAATGCAAACATTGTAAGTGTGTGTGTCACCATCGATATCACCACGATCGCTTCTATCCAGTGATAAATTCCTCCCCCTCGCCCAAATTCGTGATTAATAACTTTATGCTGCACACTCCTCATACATACAGTGAGTATGTTCCTCTCCACACGGCAAATAGTGACCATACAGTGCAATCAATCACGTGTTCCACCTGTCAGTCTATGTAACTTACCGAATCAACAGGCGGTGCAGGCTAAATAAACCAAAAATAAAGTGCTCCAGGGATCTGCTGCCTCTGCAGGGTCAGCTGTCCTTCCTGTAGTGTGAACCAGGGGCGGACTGTCAACTCATGGGGCCCCCAGGCAATAGGGGATCATGGGGCCCCTGTGTCCTTGCCCAAACTCAAAAAAGCCTATGAAAAAGGTACCAGGGGCATCTCATGGGGCCCCCTACTGACCTCAGGCCCTCGGGCAGTGCCCGAGTTTCCAAATGGTCAGTCCGCCCCTGGTGTGAACCCATGCCACGCCAAAAAAAAGTGGTCAGTATCCTCCGTGGTCTGAATAGTAAGGCACCTGTCCATCCATATATACCAAACCAGAAAGACAGGTAATGCAGGCTTGACCGGCACTTGGTGGTCGGCTTCAGGTAGCCACAAGGAAAGGGGTCCACCAGCCTTTTTTTTGCCAGGTGGATCATGTCGAAACCTCAGTCCCTGTAAGGAGCCTCGTGCCCCGGGGGATCAGGGTAGAGGTCCTACCCCTTCGGGGAGCGGACTAAAGCACACCTTTAACTGCCTCCCGCCCCCGCCATATAGTACAATGATGGACGCAAGGCGGTTCTCTCTCGTTCTGGGAGGACGTCATATGATGTCCTCCCATTCTCACCACGCATGCGTGGCTCAGGGAGTGCGCAGTGCAGCGATCGGCGGTGCGCTGTGTCCCTCAGACATAGCGGATCACCGATCAATGGAAAGAGCCAAAGATGTCGGCTCGGTCATGTGATCAGCTGTGTCCAATCACAGCTGATCGCATGTAAATTGGGAAATGCTGGTTATCGGCATTTCTCTCCTCGCGAGCTGTCACACTGACAGAGGAGAGGAGAGCCGGTAATCGGCATTCCTCGGAGGGGACATCTACACTGATCATCAGGGCACTGATCATGATCTGTGTAGCCCCAGCAGTGCCACCTGTCAGTGCTCATCCATGTCACATCAATGCCACATATCAGTGCCCATCTGAGCTGCCTTTCAGTGTCACTCATCAGTGCCACCGATCAATGCCAGTCAGTGCCACCTATCAGTGCCGCCTAGCATTGCCAGTCAGTGCTGCCTATTAGTGCCATATATGAGTGCTGCCTTTCAGTGCCCATTAGTGATGCCTGTCAATGCCCATCAGTGCCACCTACCAGTGCCTCCTCATCAGTGCCCATCAGAGTCACCTATCAGTGCCCATCACTGCAGCCCTCGTTAGCACACATCAGTGACACACATCAGTGAAGGAGAAAATTTACTTATTTACAAAATTTTATAACAAAAACTATGAAAAATTTTTTTTTTTTTACAAAATTTCCAGTGGTTTTTGGTTTGTTTAAGAAAAAATAAAATCCCAGAGGTGATTAAATACCACCAAAAGAAAGCTCTGTCTGTCAAAAAAAAAAAGATAAAAATTTCATATGGATACAGTGTTGCATGACCACGCAATTGTCAAAGTGTGACAGCGCAGAAAGCTGGAAATTGGACAGGAAGGGGGTGGAAGTGTCCGGTAGGCGAGGGGTTAACCACTTCCTGTCTGGCCCATGTATATAAATGGCCAGAGGGTGGCAGTGCAGGGGCGGTTTTGCCATTCATAAACGCCATTATGGACGGTGCGTTCCCTGGGAACGTGCGGCACCGCGATCCCGGAGGACACAGCGGAAAAACAACCGCTGTACGGGACTTCTGTGTGAGGTTCTGATCATGTGATCACTGATTGGCCAATCAGCGATCACATGAATAGGTGTAAGATGTCACTTCTGACATCATTGCTTACTACGTGTGAATTCTGTGAATGATCACAGAGGTCACATGGTACAGGGCCATTCACAACAGCCTTGTACCATGTGACAAGCTGTGACCAATCACAGCTCACACAGTATTTCTCAATGGCTGCATGAATGCAGCCAGGAGAGAAGGAGAAATGATTGCTTTTACAGCCTTTATGGGTGTAAAAGCAATCAGTGTACAAAAAAACAAATCTTCATCACTCCCCCACAAGTAGTACAGCGTCACCATGGTAACAATGTAGTGCTAGGGTGACAGTATGTTAAAAAAAAAAAAAAAAACAAATAATAATATAAAAAAATGTAAAAAATGTTTTTTGAAAAAATTATAAATTTTTGGTTATAAACTAATTTGGGATTTTTTTTTTTTTTTTTACTAAAAAGATAACTGAATAACTTTTGGCCAAGATTTATGAAGAAAGATTATTTATTTGCAAAATTCTAGAAGAAAAACACTTTTTTTCAAAATTTTTGGAACGTTTTTTTTGACAAAATTTTTTTCATTTGTATAGTACAAAAATATAAAAATCCCAGCGGTGAATAAACACCACCAAAATAAAGCTTTATCTGTCTCAAAAAAATGCTAAAAATTCATATGATACAGTGTTGCATGACCGCGCAATTGTCATTCAAAGTGTGATAGCGCTGAAAGCCGGAAATTGACCTGGACTGGAAGGGGGTGAAAGTGTCCGGATTGGAAGGGGGGGTGGTGAAAGAGAGTCTGGACTGAAGGGGGGGGGGGGTGTGAAAGGGTCCGGACTGGAAGGGGGGGGGGTGAAAGCGTTCCGGACTGGAAGGGGGGGGGTGTGAAAGCGTCCGACTGGGAAGGGGGGGGTGAAAGCGTCCGGACTGGAAGGGGGGGGGGGGGTGAAAGCGCCCGACTGGAAGGGGGGGGTGAAAGCGTCCAGACTGGAAGGGGGGGGGGTGAAAGCGTCCAGACTGGAAGGGGGGGGGAAAGCGTCCAGACTGGGAAGGGGGGTGAAAGCGTCCAGACTGGAAGGGGGGGGGGTGAAAGCGTCCAGACTGGGAAGATGGAAGGGGGGAGCGTCCGGGACTTGAAGGGGGACGGGGGGAGAGCGTCCAGAGATAAATACTAAACTCTGGAAGGGGGGGGGGGGGGGTGGGGGAGCGTCCAGACTGGAGGGGGGGGGGGAGCGTCCAGACTGGAAGGGGGGGGGAGGAGCTGTCCAGACTGGAAGGGGCGGGGGGAAGTGTCCGACTGGAAGTGTTGGGGGGGGGGGGGAGCGTCCTGAAGGGGGGGAAGGACTGGTAAAGGAGGGGGGAAAGTGTCTGGACTGGAAGTGCGGGGGGGAAAGTGTCTGGACTGGAAAGGGGGGGGGGGGGAACGTCCGGATTGAGGGGGATAAAATACTAAAACAATCTATTACGAGGCCATGAGGGGGGGTGTCACAGGGAATATTAGATGAATAAATGAAGGTTGGGAGGAGCTGAAGGGTATATATGGAAATGGCCGGTCGCAGTCTGACGGACGCATCCTTTGATAAAGTCGCGATGACAAAACGCGGGGTGTGCGGTTTATCGTCGTACGGTGATTGGACGGGGATTGACTGGGGGTTGGAAGATGGGGGTCCGAATATGTTGGGGGCGGAAGTTCATAAACACAGAATAAGATCAGAAGTTGTAGAAAAGACTTATTTATATATTTCTCCTGAAGGAGCCCCGTATGACGTCACATTAACTCACACAATGTTTTAAACAAAAATAAATATTATCAGTAATAATAACTTTGGCAGCCCCCCCAAACCACAAATGTTTTAAAAAACCCCCCCCCCCCCCCCTTTAGCACAGATATGGAAGACTCGGATCCCGATTGGCTGATATTGTCACTCTGGGACTATTAGTCCCCCACACTCCGGCTCCGCTCCCCAGTCACACATTTTATTAATTTTCTATCATTCTCAATCTCAGTCACTACAATACAGACTACTAGCGGTTTGGTTTGTGATGACGACGCTGTTAAACATTTTCGTCTCCTCTATGGGAACCATTTTGTGTTGGTCTCTACCGTAGACCCATGTAGTTTTGAGCTGCAAGAAAATGGCCGCTTATCCTAATCTAGGGGAGGGAAACCGGAGACATTGTAGTGAGGGACTCACCGCTCCTATATGTGATCACTTGTTGTTGTGGCTGGTTGTGACCCCTCCCCCGGGCTGTCCTGCCCTGATCTCTTCTAGAAGGAGGAGGAGTCGGTCAGGGATGGGGTTGTGTCTGCCGTGTCTGGGGGGAGCTGCCGAGGATGTGGTGGAAACACCGGACCCGGTGAGTGTCGGGAGGGGTTTGCAGGGTGTCGCATGGGGGAGGGGTGCCACATGCTGGTGGGGAAAGGGTGCAGGGGTGTCAGATGGTGGTGGGGTGTCAGATGGAGGAGGGATGCAGGGGTGTCATGTGGTGGGGGAGGGATGCAGGGGTGTCAGTGGTGGGGGTGTCAGGTGTGGGGGTGGTGTGGGTGGGGGGGGTGTCAGATGGTGGTGGGGGATGGGTGCGGGGGGTGTCAGATGGTGGTGGGGGATGGGTGGGGGGGGTGTCAGATGGTGGTGGGGGATGGGTGCGGGGGGTGTCAGATGGTGGTGGGGGAGGGGTGCAGAGGATGGTTGGGGTGTCAGATGGTGGTGGGGGGGGTGCAGGGGTGTCAGATGGTGAGGTGAGGGTGCAGGGGGTGTCAGGTGGGTGAGGAAGGGGTGCAGGGGATGTCAGATGGTGGGGGGGGGGGAGGAGGGGTGCAGGGGATGTCAGATGGTGGTGGGGGAAGGGGTGCAGGGGGGTGTCAGATGGGGGGGTGCAGGGTGGGGTGTCGGGTGGGGGAGGGGTGCAGGGGGTGTCGGGTGGTGGGGGAGGGGTGCAGGGGGTGTCAAATGGTGGTGGGGGGGAGGGGTGTCAAACTGATGGGGCTCATTTGCAGTGCGCAGAGATGTTTGTTTACGTTCCTGTCCCGGGGGGTGTGTGTGTGTGTGTGGGGGGGGGGGGTGCGGGGAGAGCGTAGGAAGTGGCTGGGGACCCGGCGGTATGGAGGGGAGATCATAGAGCCGGGTGTGGTGTATACATGGGGGGAGGGGTGTACGCAGAGCCCCCTCCCCCTCTGTGTACAGATCACACAGCTCAGCGCCCCCAGTTCAGGTACGGCGATGTCTCTGCTCGGGGCGCAGCGCTCGGGGGACGGATCCTGACGTTGATTTCTTCCATGGAAAGAAGAATGTCCTCCCAGCCTGCTCTGTAATGGTATTGGACGGGGCGGTCCCGGTCCTCCTTTTCTGGGGTCCCCCGCTGTCCGCTTCCCCTCCTCCAGGTGCCTGCGGGGGCTCCTGTGCAATCTCACTCCTGAGCAAGGCTATGTGTGGCAATAGACACACACACAGCACCAGCAAGCCACACCCCCCTCCCCTCCTCACAGGAGTTTGACAGCAGCCAGAGCCTATGGCTGCCCTCAGTGTCTCCTGTCGGGACAAGGAAGTGAGGGGGCGGTGCCGCTTTGATCGCTTTGACAGCTAGCGGGGGATCCCCGCTAGCTCCACCCACCTGACTGCCCCATTCATTCACTGCTCTGTAAATGAGAAACTACAAGTCCCAGCAGCCTTGGCGGCCCTTGGACTGAATGCAGACTGAACACAGCATCACCATCAGATAGACAAGGAGGGGAGGAGGAAGAGGGAGGGGAAGAGAAGAGGAGGGGGAAGGAGGAGAGAAGATGAAGGAGGTGGGGAAGGAGTAGAGAGGGGGGGAGGTGGGGAGGGAAAGGCGGGGGAGGAGAGTAAGGAGAAGAGGTGGGGAAGGAGCACTACAGGAACCTTTTTACCGGTTATACCGGTGTCGCTCCCTGCCCTGCTCCTCCATTGCTCCTTGGAGCTCCAGGCAGGGGAGGGGGGGCACATCCGGCTTCAGCTTTCAGGTGCCAGTCAGGCAGCTGGGTGGATGCCAACAATATTGTCGGGATCCTACTGCGTTCAGTACCCACCTGTACCTACCGGCTTCATTCAGTACCTACCGGTTGCGTTCAGTACCCACCTGTACCTACCGGCTTCATTCAGTACCTACCGGTTGCGTTCAGTACCCACCTGTACCTACCGGTTGCGTTCAGTACCCACCTTGTGAACAGTATTCTGAAGAGCGCATCCTTTGTGTGTCTTTTAATTTGTTTTATTTCGGGTTGGAAGTTTGGACTTCAAGTGACTGCCCCCCCCCCCCCCATCTACCAGGTTCATTACTCTGTCCCATCACCTATCTTCCCCATCCCCCGGGCTCGCTGGTCTTCCCACAACCCTGAGTCAGCTAATTAGGAGCTCCCACTGAGCCGCCAGTTCCTGTTGCTAAGCTGCATGTCTGTCAGTAACCGAAACCCTAAATTGTATCCGTGACAACAGCTGCTGCTGCATCACTAAAGAGGATTATAGTGTGCGCTGATATCATGTACAGGGGACCCAGTCTGCTCATACCAGAGAACTACAAATCCCAGCATGCACTGAGAGGTGCTACCTGAAGACCATCGATGGTGTCCACAATACAGCCAATCAAAAATTAGTTTACCTGCGTTGGATAGGTTTTTATTCCTTTTTTGGATGATTTAATATTTTTAATAACTGTACATTTTTACATTTAATTACAAATAATAAAAAAAGTAATTTTTTTATTATGAGATAGAGATATATATATATATATATACACACAGTAATACCTCGATTTACAAATTTCATTTGTTCTGCAGGACTTTTCATTTAGTTCCGGAGGTCAGAAAAAACAAACCGCTACTACAATACTGCGTGAGTTATTTTCTCAAGTCATGCGGTATTTTGGTAGCGACAACCATGTCTTCATGTTTCAGCTGTCAGCGGGGTTCCCCCATTGACAGCTGAATGTAAAAGAATTGCTGGCAATTAAAACATTATTTTAAAAACAGGCGTGGGGTCCCCCCCCCCCATCCATACCAAGGCCTTCGGGTCTGGTATGGATTTTGAGGGGAACTCCCACTCCAAGATTTGAAAAAAAAAAAAAAAAAAAAATGGCGTGGGGTTTCCTCCCCCCCCCCCCCCCCCCCAAAATCCATACTAGAACCCTTATCCGAGCATGCAGTCCGGCTGGTCAGGAAAGGGGGGGTCCAAGCGAGCACCCCCCCCTTCTGAACCATAGCAGGCCACATGCCCTCAACATGGAGGGGTGCTCCCAAAGCACCTTGTCCTCATATTGATGGGGACAAGGGCCTCTTCCCCACAACCCTGGCTGGTGGTTGTGGGGGTTCTGCAGGCAAGAGGCTTATTGGAATCTGGAAGCCCCCTTTAACAAGGGGGCCCCCAGATCCTCCCCCCATGTGAATGAGTAGGGGGTACATGGTACCCCTACTCATTCACGGAAAACAAAAAATGTAGTGTGAAAAAAAACAGGACATGATCTTTGACAAGTCCTATATTAAAAGAAAAAACTAAAAGAATGTCCCCCGCAGTAGGTCCAACGTCAATCACGACGCCGTGACCACCGCAGCCGTCACCACCGCAGCCGTCACCACCGCAGCCGCCACCAACCTGAAAAAAAGAATACAAGAAAAAAAAAAAAAAAGGCTCCGCTCCCGACAATGGCTTCCAGCGTCTGCCTGCTCTGGTGGTTTGACAGATCTTAAATATGTAAGGGTCGGGGCCACCCAGGGATATCTCTTGAGTGACCCCGCCCCATATGACATCATTGATGTCACATGGGGTGGGGTCACATGCGTGAAGACCCCGGGTGGCCCCGCCCCTTACATATTTAAGAACTGTCAAACCACGTTGTCAGGCATGCATACAAGCACATGGGGGCCACACAGACTACTGAGGACCATTCTGAGTTGCTGCAATGACATTTCACCAACATGGACTCACCTGATGCATCATTTCCTCACTTTGATTTTCGGGGTGTCAGTGAATTCAGTCCTCTGTAGGTCGATCATTACATTCCTCACCCATTCCCCCAGTCCATGTCAGTATAGAGATCCAGCAGGAGATTCCTCCCCATTGGGGTCTGATGGGTTTTCAGAGTCAAACAGGGTGAAACAGAGTGCACAAGGTGTGTCACCGCTTCCCTCCCGAAGAGGAAAGCCCCCCCCCCCCGGACTGCCGAGTACTAGGTTAGGGGCCCCCAAGGCTGGAGAGGAGAGAGCCTAAGGGCCACACATCCTCCACTTAGACTGAAGACCCGCATCATACCCCCCTGGAGCCCAACCCTTGGCCTGTCTCTTGTTTTATATCCACGTTCTCTGACCGTCTCCCGTAGAATGTCTGCTGTCTCTGATGAATATTCACTGAACTTTGTGAGGCCCTTTGATGTTGGGGGGCTGCACTTGAGGCCCCAACATCACCCCCCCCAATATCAAGAAAGTTGACCTCCAATGCCCAACCATCCATGCAGTGAAAAATATATACAAAATAATTAAAAAACAAAGAGTATCCAATGTGCAATACAATGACTCGGCGGAGAGGCCTGGCCATGAGGGGGTGGTGCGGCCTACTGCTGCCCATTGTCATGATGGGATCCCAAACCCATAGTGATACCAGGAGCACCCCCAGGGATCCATTCCCAGTTTAGAGAGAGCACCCCCCCGGGTCTCCACTCCCAGTTTAGAGAGAGCACCCCCCCCCCCCTCCCGGGTCTCCACTCCCAGTTTAGAGAGAGCACCCCCCCCCCCCCCGGGTCTCCACTGCCAGTTTAGAGAGAGCTCCCCCCCCCCCCGGGTCTTCACTGCCAGTTTAGAGAGAGCACCCTCCTCCCCCCCCCCCCCCCCCCGGGTCTCCACTCCCAGTTTAGAGAGAGCACCCCCCCCGGGTCTCCCACTGCCAGTAGTTTAGAGAGAGCACCCCCCCCCCCCCCCCGGGTCTCCACTGCCAGTTTAGAGAGAGCACCCCCCCCCCCCCGCGGTCTCCACTGCCAGTTTACAGAGAGCACCCCCCCCCCCCGGGTCTCCACTGCCAGTTTACAGAGAGCACCGCCCCCCCGGGTCTCCACTGCCAGTTTACAGAGAGCACCGCCCCCCGGGTCTCCACTGCCAGTTTAGAGAGAGCACCCCCCCCCCCCCCCCGGGTCTCCACTGCCAGTTTAGAGAGAGCACCCCCCCCCCCCCCCCCCGGGTCTTCACTGCCAGTTTGAGAGAGCACCCCCCCCCCCCAGGTCTTCACTGCCAGTTTAGAGAGAGCACCCCCCCCCCCCCCCAGGTCTCCACTGCCAGTTTAGAGAGAGCACCCCCCCCCCCGGGTCTCCACTGCCAGTTTAGAGCCCCCCCCCCCCCCCCGGGTCTCCATTCACAGCTTAGATCACCTCCCCGGGTCTCCATTCCCAGTGGGCACTTGAAACTGCGGGTTCTGTGCCTTTCCAGACCAGGTAGCACTGCTCAAACCAAGAGGCACCGGGCCCCTTGGATCTTCTGTGTTAGGGAAATACTACCAACCCCCCACTTTACCCAGTGGGGTGTTTTTTTTTTTACTTCTATTTCCAGGCAGTAAAACCCAACAGGGGTTCCAATCCTTCCTCTACATCCCAAACCAAGAACCAAAACATTCAGGCTTGGCGTTACACTTTACACATGGCGGACGCGGGCGGCCATTGATGGTTTCTTGTTTTGTTTCCATCAGGACCTGAAGAGGAGGCAGCTGGCGGAGGCCGCGGAGAAGAGGCAGATGGAGGTAAGATTTCTATTGGTCGGTCCAGAACCCAATCTATCCCAGTCCAGTCTGCGTACAAATTCTTCTCCATTAGCCCCGGCTGTCCAGGAACATTCAACTGCCGCCAACTTTATTGTCACAGACAAACAAGCAAGGAGAAGCTCCTAGGCAGGGGCGTGTCACCCGCTTGTCTATGACAACTTAGTTACCGGCATTTGAAGTTTCCTGAATTGCAGCCGACGCTTTCTGCTGGAGTGCTGAGAGGGGGGGGGGGGAGGGGGAGACCTCCGCAGAGAGACCACTGCTTCCCACACAGAGAGTACAGGGGTCCTCTCCGCAGCAATTATATGCCGCAATCCCTGATGTCACAGGACACCCTTCACTCTGGGATATTACAACATTAATGTACAATATTCAAGGAACGAGTCCATAATAAAACTGGGGAGAAATAGCACAGAGCTCCGCCCACGAGACTGGAACATCTCTCTAATGACAGGAAAGGACAGAAGGGGCGCCACTAAGTGCAGTATTTAACCTCTTCCAGTCCGGACACAAAGGTGTCATGGGTTCAATTCCTAACCATGCGCCCTCCTGCATGGAGTTTGCATGTTCTTCTGCTTGCGTGGGTTTCCTCCGGGTACTCTATTTTCCGGTTTCCACCCACACTCCAAAGACATGCTGGTAGGTTAATTGGCTCCTGTCTAAATTGTCCTAGTTTCATCCCTGGCTTTGTGTGGGGTCTCCTCCATGGTGGGGGGGGGGGGGGGGGGGGGGGGGGGGGGGGGGGGGGGGGGGGCAAAGACCTGGCAACCTACCCTGTAAAATAACTGCTAAGAGAATTCATGGAAGAAGTCACTTATGAGTGACGGTCCATCCAATGCCGAGGTACGACTGAATGGATGGATAGAGATAGTCCGGACGCTTTCCCCCCCCTTCCAGTCCGGACGCTTTCCCCCCCCCCCCTTCCCAGTCTTAGGACGCTTTCCCCCCCCTTCCAGTCCGGACTGCTTTCCCCCCCCCCTTCCAGTCCGGACGCTTTTCCCCCCCCTTCCATCCGGACGCTTTTCCCCCCCCCTTCCAGTCCGGACGCTTTCCCCCCCCTTCCAGTCCCGGACGCTTTCCCCCCCCCCTTCCAGTCCCCGGACCGCTTTCCCCTTCCCCCCCCTTCCAGTCCGGACGCTTTCCCCCCCCTTCCAGTCCGGACGCTTTCCCCCCCCCTCCTTCCAGTCCCGGACGCTTTCCCCCCCCCTTCCAGTCCGGACGCTTTCCCCCCCTTCCAGTCCGGACTGTTCCCTCCCCCCCCTTCCAGTCCTGGACGGTTCCCCCCCTTCCAGTCCGGACGCTTTCCCCCCCCCCCCTTCCAGTCCGGACGGTTCCCTTTCCCCCCCCCTTCCAGTCCGGACGGTTCCCTTCCCTCCCCCCCCTTCCCCGGACCCTCTCCCCCCCTTCCAGTCCGGACGGTTTCCCCTCCCCCCCCTTCCAGTCCGGACGGTTCCCACCCCCCCCCTTCCAGTCCGGACGGTTTCCCTCCCCCCCCTTCCAGTCCGGACGGTTCCCTCCCCCCCCTTCCAGTCCGGTCGGTTTTTTTCCCCCCCCCCCCCCCGGAGCCCCCTTCCAGTCCGGTCGGTTTTCCCCCGCCCCCCTTCCAGTCCGGTCGGCTCCCCCCCCGCCCCCTTCCATCCGGTCGGCTCCCCCCCCCCGCCCCCTTCCAGTCCCCCCCCTTCCGGTCCGGACTCCCCCCCCGCCCCCTTCCAGTCCGGTCCCGGGCTCCCCCCCCCCGCCCCCTTCCAGTCCGGTCGGCTCCCCCCCCGCCCCCTTCCAGTCCGGTCGGCTCCCCCCCCGCCCCCTTCCAGTCCGGTCGGCTCCCCCCCCCCCCCCTTCCAGTCCGGTCGGTTTCCCCGCCCCCTTCCCAGTCCGGTCGGTTTTCCTTTCCCCCCCCCCCCCCCCCGCCCCCTTCCAGTCCGGTCGGTCCCCCCCCGCCCCCTTCCAGTCCGTCCCGGTTTCCCCCGCCCCCTTCCAGTTCGTTTCCCCCCCCCCCCCGCCCCCTTCCAGTCCGGTCGGTTTCCCCCCCCCCCCGCCCCCTTCCAGTCCGGTTCGGTTTTCCCCCCCCCCCCACCCCCTTCCAGTCCAGTCGGTTTCCTTTCCCCCCCCCCGCCCCCTTCCAGTCCAGTTGCTTTCTTCCCCCCCCCCTTCCAGTCCAGTTGCTTTCTTCCCCCCCCCCTTCCAGTCCGGTTCCGGTTTTCCCCCCCCCCGCCCCCTTCCAGTCCGGTCGGTTTCACCCCCCCCGCCCCTTTCCAGTTCCCGTTGGTTTCTCCCCCCCCTTCCATTCCAGTTGCTTTCTCCCCCCCCCTTCCATTCCAGTTGCTTTCTCCCCCCCCCTTCCAGTCCAGTTGCTTTCTTCCCCCCCCTTCCAGTCCGGTCGGTTTTCCCCCCCCCGCCCCTTCCAGTCCGGTCGGTTTCACCCCCCCCCTTTCCAGTCCAGTTGCTTTTCTCCCCCCCCCCTTCCAGTCCCAGTTGCTTTCTTCCCCCCCCTTCCAGTCCGGACGCTTTCCCCGTGGTTATAAAGACTTTGCTGACACATGGTAAGACGCACACACATGTAAACCGTGAAAGTGTCGCCTCTAAAGTAACTGGAGCTTCAAGGAAAGGATCGCCCACGCTCCAGATGATAGACTCAGGTGGTATCCGAGGCCACGCAGGACAACATGAAGGAGCAGAGCGGTATCCGCACCAGGTCTGGTTTGACAAAGGAGCCGATTTGGTGCCCTGAAACATGTAATCAAGGTTACGGACCGCCCCCCACTGATGTCACTTCCGGTTCTGCGGTCCAGATGTGGTTTCCGACGTCACTTCCGCTCATACCCCTCTGCTCCTGGATGTTGTCCTGCGTGGCCCTCGGGATACCACCTGAGTCTATCATCTGGAGTGGGGGCGATCCTTTCCTTGAAGCTCCAGTTACTTAGAGGTGATACTTTCATGGGACCCTGATGTAAGGTGGGGACCCTGATGTAAGGTGGGGCCTCTGGTGGGGAACCTGATGTAAGGGGGGCCTCTGGTGGGGACCCTGATGTAAGGGGGGCCTCTGGTGGGGACCCTGATGTAAGGGGGGCCTCTGGTGGGACCCTGAAGTAAAGGGGGGCCTCTGGTGGGGACCCCTGAAGTAAAGGGGGGCCTCTGGTGGGGACCCTGAAGTAAAGGGGGCCCTCTGGTGGGGACCCTGAAGTAAAGGGGGGGCCTCTGGTGGGGACCCTGAAGTAAAGGGGGGCCTCTGGTGGGGACCCTGAAGTAAAGGGGGGCCTCTGGTGGGTGCCCTGATGTAAAGGGGGGCCTCTGTAAAGGAAGGGGGTGCCCTGATGTAAAGGGGGCCTCTAGTGGGTGCCCTGATGTAAAGGGGGGGCCTCTGGGTGGGTGCCCTGATGTAAAGGGGGGGCCCTCTGGGTGGGGGCCCTGAATGTAAAGGGGGGCTCTGGGCGGGGCCCTGATGTAATGGGGGGGCTCTAATGGGGACCTCTGGTGGGGCCCTGATGTAAGGATGGGCCTCTGGGGGGGGGGGGAGACCCCCTGCCTGTAAGGGGAGGGAGGGGAGGGGCGGCCTCCATATTGTGCATGGGGGGGGGACCCTGTTGTAAGGGGAGCGGCCTCTGGGGGGGGGGGGGGACCCAGTTGTAAGGGGAGCGGCCCTCTGAGGGGGGGGGCCCTGAAGTAAGGGGGAGGCGGCCTCTGGGGGGGGACCCCTGATGTAAGGGGAGGCGGCCTCTGAGGGGGGGGGACCCTGATGTAAGGGGAGGCGGCCTCTGAGGGGGGGACCTTGAATGTAAGGGGAGGGCGGCCTCTGGGGGGGGACCCTGATGTAAGGGGAGGCGGCCTCTGGTGGGGGGGACCCTGATGTAAAGGGGAGGCGGCCTCTGGTGGGGGGGACCCTGATGTAAGGGGAGGTGCGGCCTCTGGTGGGGGGGGACCCTGATGTAAGGGGAGGTGGCCTCTGGTGGGGGGACCCTGATGTAAAAAGGGGTGGCCTCTTGTGTGGACCCTTATGTAAGTGGGGGGCCTCTGGTGCCTACACTGATGTAGGGGGGGGGCTCTGGTTGGACCCTGATGTCAGGGGGGGCCTCTGGTTGGGACCCTGATTTTGGGGGGGCCTCTGGTTGGGACCCTGATTTTGGGGGGCCTCTGGTTGGGACCCTGATGTAAGGGGGGATCTGGTGGGGGACCCAAATGTAAGGTGGGGAGGCTCAGAAAGGGAACAATGAAATAAAGGAGGACTCTGATGGGGACGACAAATGTAAGGCGGGGCTCTGATTTGGATTTGTTAAATATATGATGAGGCCCTCATACTGAAACATTTGGGGCCCCGATCTCAATCCTCCAATTTGGTTTAATATCGGGTTTTCTATCCTTCAATCTGCAGACTATTGTGCCATCAGACTGTAACGTGTGGCCGCTGTTCAGACTGAAGAGCGATTTACTATCTGTGTGTTTTTCAGACTGTCAATCGCGGCATCAAGAACCCGACTTCAGTGGAACAGATGAAGAAGAAAAAGGAGGAAGTGGAGAAGATGACGACCACCGCGGCGCCCTCCGGTGGTGGAGGAGGAGGATTACGGGTAGGTGGAACAATGGAGGCCGGACTGGTAGAGAACTCCAAGCAGCAACTAAAATCTGTGTGTGAAATACTGAATGTATCCAGAAAAAGTGCAGCTGTGCTAAAGTCAGAAAGTTCCTAAAAAAAGTCAGCAGATCCCATGTGGTCCCCAAGAATTAGCAGGACTTTTACAGAGATTCTTGGGGGGACGACTGCCTTTCGCATGTCATTTAGTATGGTGAAACCACCTTCTCTACAGATCTAATGCTTCCTGTAGAGTCAAGGAATATACGTTCCATTTTCATTACATGCCTCATTTTAGACTCAGTTATCACTGGGTCTCTGTGCTTCTCAATGCAATGCAGGTATATTGTGGCTGGTAGGAGTGACCTGGGCTGTCAGGGTGGAGGGGGAGTCCTCAGGCAATGTGGGGCCCTTCCATCAATCTCTAGTCTGGCTGGAATGTGCCGGGTGTCAGCTGGTGAGGAGATGACGGTGTACATCCCCTGATTGTTTGTACCATATACAGGGCAATGTGTCCGATGTAAACATTCTGTACTTGTATGTGCTGGAAATACCTGCAAAACCGGGACTGATCATAGAGGTGTATGGAAGGAGGCCAGCTGTATTCTTATTGGCTGAGAAATGGGAGATTTTATATATGAAATAGTCTGCTGGAGGACTCCGCTCCTTCCTCTATAACTCTCCTCTCCTGAAATACTCTGCGCTGCCGGAGGACTCCTCTCCTTCCTCTATAACTCTCCTCTCCTGAAATACTCCCTGCACTGCTGGAGGACTCCTCTCCTTCCTCTATAACTCCTCTCCTGAAATACTCTGCGCTGCTGGAGGACTCCGCTCCTTCCTCTATAACTCTCCTCTCCTGAAATACTCTGCGCTGCTGGAGGACTCGCTCCTTCCTCTATAACTCCTCTCCTGAAATACTCTGCGCTGCTGGAGGACTCCTCTCCTTCCTCTATAACTCCTCTCCTGAAATACTCTGCACTGCTGGAGGACTCCTCTCCTTCCTCTATAACTCCTCTCCTGAAATACTCTGCTACTCTGCGCTGCTGGAGGACTCCGCTCCTTCCTCTAATAACTCCTCTCCTGAAATACTCTGCACTGCTGGAGGACTCCGCTCCTTCCTCTATAAAACTCCTCTCCTGAAATACTCTGCACTGCTGGGAGGACTACCCGCTCCTTCGCCCTCTATATCTCTCCTCTCCTGAAATACTCTGCACTGCCGGAGGACTCGGCTCCTTCCTCTATAACTCCTCTCCTGAAATACTCTGCACTGCTGGAGGACTCGCTCCTTCCTCTATAACACCTCTCCTGAAATACTCTGCACTGCTGGAGGACTCCTCTCCTTCCTATAACTCTCCTCTCCTGAAATACCCTCTGCACTGCTGGAGGACTTCTCCGCTCCTTCCCTCTATAACCCTCTCCGTCTGCTGGAATTATTCCTCCTTTATAAAATAGCTTCCCTATGATCCCACCCTTTTTCCAGTTGTGTACCTTTCCTAGCTTGACAGACAGTATATGGCGGTGGAGCTCCTCCTGTCAGGATTGATGGGATTAATTCCCCGAATCCTCGGATGAAGCTGACAGGCGGCAGGAACCAGTGACACCGTCTCCCGTCTCCGAATGAGTGACCTTTCCAATGGCTTCTATCTGCCAGAGAGGAGCTTGTAGGAGGGATGAACAGGCCGCGTTCTTCAGGGACACAGCCATTATCTGCTCCCCTTCGCCCACACAGCGGATTCTGCCTCCTTGTTAGGATGTTTATCAGCCGGCACTTCGCATCACCTCGATCCGCCGCCATCCCCGAATTCACCCCACCCCCCCCCCCCCCAATCTCCCTCCCCCGCCATGTACAGCCTGTGGAGACTGGGGGTTTATTAGATACTACTGCCCGAGGCTGTGGGGCAGTGTTTGTTCTTTTCACATGTACTGGCAGAGGACCCCCAACCTTTGTAATCCCATCCAATGAGCATCGAGGACAGAGAAAAAACCTGAAACCCGCCCGTCTGCAGCTGAACTGAGGAATGTGGAACCCCCCCAGGATGATGGGGTCCCACTGCTTCCACTGGAGGTGGGGCGGTAATAACTCACCCATCATACAAAGACATGATAGACTAGGGACAGGGAATGAAAAATCACACCGTGACCGGTCCGTGTTCTGCCAGCGGAGCGGTCCAAATGTTTGTGCGACAGCTCACTACCCCCCCCCCCCCCCCCTACTTCCACAACCCCCCTTCTTGTGTTCTGTGTCCTCAGTCTCCATAGCCTCCACCCAATACCTCAGCCCATTCACATCCCCCCCCCCCCCCTTCACACCAGTATCCTCAGCCCTTTATCAACAGTATCACAGGCCCCCCATTTATCCCCCCCCCCCCTTCAACACCAGTAGGTCAGCCTCAGCCCCCCCATCACATAACCCCCCCCCTTCACACCATCCATCCCACCCCCCCCCCCCCCCCACACCACAGTCCCCCCTTCTTGCGTTCGTGTCCTCAGTCTCCCCTCCACATCACAGACCCCCCCCCCCTTTACATCAGTCACTCCTTTCCACCAGTATCCTCAGCCCCCCATCCAACATCACCCCCCCCCCCTTCAACGCCAGTATCCCCACCCCCCCATCACATCACCCCCCCCTGACACGCCAGTATCCCCAGCCCCCCATCACATCTCCCCCCCCCCCCCCTTCACAACAGTATCCTCAGCCCCCCATCACATCAACCCCCCCCCCCCCCCCACACACCAATAATCCTCAGCCCTTTAATCACAATCACCCCCCCCCATCACCAGTGTCCTCAGCCCCCCCATCACATAACCCCCCCCCCTTCACATCACCCCCCCCCCCCCACCACAGTTCCCTTCTTGTGTTCGTGTCCTCTCAGTCTCCCCTCCACATCACAGACCCCCCCCCCCCCCTTTACATCAGTCACTCCTTTCCATCAGTATCCTCACCCCCCCCCCATCACACCCACCCCCCCCCCCTTCACAACAGTATCCTCAGCCCCCCATCACATCCTCTAGCGCCCAGGCGCCCCCCCCCTTCACACCAATATCCTCAGCCCTTTATCACATCACCCCCCCCCCCCCCCCCTTCACACCAGTGTCCTCAGCCCCCCATCACATAACCCCCCCCTATCACATCACCCTCCCCTTCACACCAGTGTCCTCAGCCCCCCTTCACATCACCACCCCCCCCCCCCCACTTTTACAGCAGTGTCCTCAGCCCCCAATCACATCACCCCCCCCCCCCCCCCCAGTGTGCTCAATCCCCATCGCATCAACCCCTCCCCCATCACGACACTGTCCTCAGCCCCCCTTCTCATCACTCCCCCCCCCCCCCCCCCCCCCCCACTTCACAGCAGTGTGCTCAGTCCCCATCACTTCACCCCCTCCCCCCTTCACGACACTGTCCTCAGCCCCCCTTCACGTTACTCTCGGCCCCACTTTAAATTTCCCACCCCCCCACACTCACTCCAACACCTTTCCCAGCAGTTCCTAGCCCCCTTCACATCACACCTGCCCCCCTAAAGTTCGATGGGACCGAGGTAAGTATAGGAGGAAATGGGACTTTTTCTGTTTACTTGGAGTAACACATTGTATTACGGGGTCACTCGTTCCCTCTGAGCCTCTATAAGGAGGGGCTCAGGCAGGGATGATGGGACTTGTAGTCCCAGGAAGGGCGTTATGTGAATTTCTACATCTATGAGGTGCAAAGCGCTCCCTCCCTAACCAGAACTTGGAGGATGCGGTGCTGAGCACTCAGGGCTAGCAGATTTCATTTCAGGGCTAGCAGATTTCATTTCAGGGCTGGCGGACTTCCCACCAGGGCTGGCGGACTTCCACCAGGGCTGGCGGACTTCCCACCAGGGCTGGCGGACTTCCCACCAGGGCTGGCGGACTTCCCCCAGGGCTATTGGACTTCCCCCCAGGGCTGGCGGACTTCCCCCCAGGGCTATTGGATTTCCCCCAGGGCTATTGGATTTCCCCCCAGGGCTATTGGATTTCACCCCAGGGCTAGCGGATTTCACCTCAGGGCTAGCAGGTTTCAATAGTTCAAAATATAAGTTCATAGTCAGATCTAAGAAAAGGAGATGCATTGGGAATGTCTGATTGGTGGGTTTGAGTATCTTAAACCCAAATATATGTCGAGATTTAATAACACGTTTTGGTCTCTTTGTCTTCCAGTGGCAGGTTGGGTAGCGATTGGCGGATCCGGGAGACGATGTTTCGGTTGCAGAATTCCATTCTTGGAACAATTGTCTGGCTTTTGCTGTTTGCATATTGTGGTTCCTGAAGACAGTCGGTGACGCTGCGGGTGGCGGCCTGACCTCTGCAGACTATCGCTTCGCAGTTCCCAAATCCAAGCTGCTAACACAGATCTCCACTGCCCACCATCCCCCCAGAGACCTCGTCTGTTAGTGACCCGCCGTGCAAATCTTTATATAAGCCGACCGGCCCGAGGGATCTGTGACTGCCAACTGTCACCAATTTAAAGCCCAACTATGGCCAACACTTATTTTTTTTAATTTGGTAGAGCAGGGAAGTTTTAGAGGCAATGTTCTTCTTGTTTGTGTCCCCACTTGGGAGATTTCTCCTTACTTCCTGTTGCAGTGACAACAGGAAGTGAGAAAATCTCCCTTTTCTTTTTTGACAGGTATCAGAACAGGAAGTGAGGGGGATCCCCCAACAGGGGCTTAGAACAGAAAGTGAGGGGAACACCCAATAGGGGCATAGAACAGGAAATGAGGGGAACCCCCCCAGTAGGGGCATAGAACAGGAAGTGAGGGAGACTCCCCAATAGGGACATAGAACAGAAAGTGAGGGGAACCCCCAATAGGGACATATAACAGGAAATGAGGGGAACCCCCCAGTAGGGACATATAACAGGAAATGAGGGGAACCCCCAAATAGGGGCATAGAACAAGAAGTGAGGGAAACCCCCCAATAGAGGCATAGAACAGGGAGCGCAACCCCCCAGTAGGGGCATAGAGCAGGAAGTGAGGGGAACCCCCCAATAGAGGCATAGCACAAGAAGCAAGGGGAACCCCCTAATAGGGGCTATAGCACAAGAGGGGAACCCTCCCAGTAGGGGCATAGAACAGGAAGTGAGGGGAATCCCCCAATAGGGGCATAGAACAGGAAGTGAGGGGAACCCCCCAGATAGGGGCATAGAACAGGAATTGAGAGGAACCCCCCAATAGGTGCATAGAACAGGAAGTGAGGGGAACCGTCCAATAGGCGCATAGAGCATTAAATGAGGGGAACACCCCCCCCCCCAATAGGGGCATAGAACAGGAAGTGAGCAGAACCCCCCCAATAGGCGCATAGAACACTAAAGGAGGGGATCCCCCCAATAGGGGCATAGAACAGGAAATGAGGGGAGCACCCTCCCCCCCCCCCCTAACAGGACTACAGACAGCAGTGAGAACTTATTTTCCAATAAGATTGGGAACCTCTGTCAGAATCTTATTGCTGTGTCCCCATGAGGGAGACTTCCCCTCACTTCCTGTCCAGGTGTAATGGCTGTCGAAGCAAGAAGAGTAATCTCATTTCTATCCCTTTCCTGCGCTGTCCAACATTTAAAGCAGAACTCCACTCCAATGGTATAAAAGCAGCTTTTGTTCTCACTTTCAGAGCTGTCCCATGCAGTAATTCCTTTCCGCCACTAGATGTCCCCGGTCTCCTGGGTTGAATGACAGCCAACATCCTGCTTCCTCTAAGCCTAGGCTGTCATGGACCCGCCCCCAAGGGCGACGTCATAACACCAGGGTTGGCTGCACTGAATGGTGTCACAGGCCATCACACCAGTTCAGGAGTAAGGACCGCTCCCTGCCAGAGGAAAAGAGAGAACTGACCTGTGACATCAACCTTTTATATAGCCGGATTTTTTTTTAAAAAAAGGGTTGAAATTGGAGTTCTACTTTAAAGAGGAAAAATTTAAATTTGGGCTTTAAGTTGGCGACATACACTACGAGATTATTTATTGTTATTGAGAAGATTTGATAGATATATACATACAACTCATATAGATTATAAACCGATGTGTCTGAGGGAGAACTTGTCTGTGGTGCTCATCGCAACCAATCACCATTGTCCATTCCGCACAAGTTACGTGACCAAGCTGCATTCCGCTTTACTATATTGCTGAACTTCAACAAGCTTTATGGACACCAGGCAAGGGCAGTCAGGCATCTGCTCACCATAAATGACGCATTTCGCCCATAGTACGAGCCTAGTTATAGACTAAGAACCCCTATGACGAAGTCTTTGTTGTGGACGAAACGCGTCGGTGGTGGGGTCATGTCTGGAGGGGGAGAAGATATCTGATTGACCTTGTGTTTCAGCTAAAAAGGTAATGTAGAGTGCAGCTTCATTGTTCTATATCCTTCTTGGAGGAGGAGCCAGGAAAGCCCGGCGCCTGCAGCAGATCCCTGCCAAGAGGTTGCCTAGAGTGGTACCATTTATATTCATTCCGCACAATATTGACAGGAACCCGCCTACTTCTCGTGGCACCCGCGCTTTATACACATGGCCCCCAAATGAAGGGCTATTGGCTCTGTGTGCGAATGGTATTCCAGAGGAATGGCAACCAATCAGATTCTGCCTTGGGACACCGGTAGCTGTAATCTCATTGGTCGACCTGGCAATACTAACAACTCTCCGTTGTCAGTTGTTTTTTTTTTTTTTTAGTAACGATCTGATTGGTTGTTCTGAGGCAACACAGACAGTTCCTATGTCAAGCTGTGCGATAAGAGTGGCTCATTTTATTTTAAAGAGGACCCGTCACTTTGGAAAAACCAGTTGCTTAGAATCGGGGGTCTCCAGACTATGGCCCTCCAGCTGTTGACTACAAGTCCCATCATGCCTCTGGGAGTCTTGCCCGTGGTTGTCAGTCTTGCAAGGCCTCATGGGACTTGTAGTTCCTTAACACCTGGAGGACTGTGGTTTGGAGACTCCCGGCTTACATGGTAGTTCTAACATTTTCTTACGCACTTTATTTGCCAAAAGTAGTATTATTTCATGCTTGGTCTGACTTCCAGGTGAGAGTCGGGCCTGCGGGGGTCTCTAATCCCTCCTCCTGCAGCCACCTTCTCCCCACAGTTCTTAAAGAGAACCTGTGAGGACAGGAACATGGGAGCTGCTAGTGCTAGCTGATTATGTTGTCCCTGGCTGTAATTGCTGACTAGGAACAAGCATGCAGCCAGTGAAAGTGCCGTTTCCGCCTGTTGTTCCAGTGCAGGATGAGAGCCCAGAATCCTTCACTGACAGTTCCCACTAAAACTAGAAACAGCAAGATTGTACTTTTTTGTTCATGGAGACACCACTTCAGTCATTAGATGTGTGGGTTTATATCGCCACCTTCAGGAGGGGGGTGGTAGGTGTAACAAAAAAGCCTCCTAAGGGGACAGCACCTTCTAGAAGCTGAACCCGTCTTCTGCTAGAGATTGTCTATTTTGTCCTAGGAGGAAGGACTCCATGATTCGGGTCCTGGGAGCTATTCTGTATCTGGTTCTCTGGAAGGGTGAGCAGTACTTTGGCCTTCCCCCATCAATCCTTAGTGCCTACAGTTGGTACAGTGGTGACCTACCTGGGAAGGGGGGGGGGGGGCAAAAGGAGGTTCTCTGCACAGAACGGGGTTGTTTTTGGTGTCATCGTTGGGGTGTTCTGAACAATCCTACACTCTTGTTGCCGGAACCAAGGTGCAATGGAAGGTTTTTGACCTGACAGGTGGAGGTGAGATAAGATCAGTAGAGTTGTCCCTGTAGATGGGACATAATCCGAGAACTATTTCTTCAAAACGGTTGATGCTAATTGGTTGTAGAGTTGACATTAAACTCCATCAATGCATTTTGTGGATCTTCAAGGTCCTCGAAGCCTTCAAGATCCTTTTCTTCAGGAAGGGTGTTTAGACAGCAGTGGAGGAAACTATCTCCATGGGGCTTGTTGTCTCAAAATGTCCTACACACCCCGCCTGGTGAGTTGTCCCCTATACCACCATGAAAATTTATGACCAATGACCATCAACCTTTTTGAAGAAAGTTCTGTTTTCAATGGGCGCATCTACTGATCTTATCCCACCTTCAACTTTTGGGGCAAAAACAAAATCTTCCATTGGAAGAAGGTGACTGAGGTAGGCTTTGTCCGGAAGTTCTAGCACATACTTTCCATGAGGTTTAGGCAGAAAATACCAAATGAGCTGAAGTCCCTAAGAGATGGTCACGGAAATGTGTAAGCCATCTAGGATCGTGGTGGAGTTCTCCTGAGCTCTGGATTATGCCAAGTCCGATGAGCAACCGTGCTATGGAGGTGTAGCTCTAGGGCTAGTTCCAAGGGCTATACCTTCTTGAAGAGGGTGCAGCTCTTGAAACACGTAAGAGAGCTAACATCCCGGTGGATGGTTTGACTGATGAAGAGGGTATAGTCCTCAAAACCCAATCCCAATGGGTTGGCTCTGATAAGGGTACAGCCCTGAAACATGTAAGAGAGCTAACATCCCGATGGATGGTTTGACTCTGAAGAAGAGAGTATAGCACTCGAAACCCAATCCCAATGGGTTGGCTCTGATGAAGAGGGTATAGTCCTTGAAACACGTAAGCCATCTAGGATCTTGGTGGAGTTCTGAGCTCTTGATTATGTCAAGTCCGATGAGCAACCGTGCTATGGAGGTGTAGCTCTAGGGCTAGTTTCAAGGGCTATACCTTCTTGTAGAGGGTGCAGCTCCTGAAACACGTAAGAGACCAAGCATCCCGCTGGATGGTTTGACTCTGAAGAAGAGGGTAGAGCCCTCAAAACCCAATCCCAATGTGTTGGCTCTGATGAAGAGGGTACAGCCCTTGAAACATGTAAGAGAGCTAGCATCCCAGGTTCCTGGGTTTGTACACCTGCTATGCCCATTGAGGGGTTCCCACCATCCCCGTGCTGAGTTCTTAGGTCTGTACACCCGCTGTGCCCATTATGAGGGGTTCCCGCCGTCCCTGTGCAGAGTTCCCGGGTCTGTACGCCCGCGGTTCCCACTATGAGGGGTTCCCACCATCTCTGTGCTGAGTTCCCAGGTCTATACGCTCGCTGTGCCCATTATGAGGGGTTCCCACCATCCCTGTGCTGAGTTCCCGTGTCTGTACACCCGCTGTGCCCATTATGAGGGGTTCCCGCCGTCCCTGTGCAGAGTTCCCGGGTCTGTACGCCCGCGGTTCCCACTATGAGGGGTTCCCACCATCTCTGTGCTGAGTTCCCAGGTCTATATGCTCGCTGTGCCCATTATGAGGGGTTCCCACCATCCCTGTGCTGAGTTCCCGTGTCTGTACACCCGCTGTGCCCATTATGAGGGGTTCCCACCATCCCTGTGCTGAGTTCCTGGGTCTATACACCCGTTGTGCCCATTATGAGAGGTTCCCACCATCCCTGTGCTGAGTTCCCGGGTCTATACACTTGCTGTTCCCATTATGAGAGGTTCCCACCATCCCTGTAATGATTTCCCATACCCACATGGCCAAGGACTGAAGCTGTGTCTTTAAATGAACTTGGATAAGGCAGATTCAAGGCAAAGTGATGGGTTCTCTTGCCAGCAAACACCCCATGACTGATTCCTCTGGGCCCTCAGAAGTACTCCTTCATACCTGGAAGTGCTGGGTGTGTGGCCCTCTCCTCATCCTCCCAGAATGCAGTTGTCAGGCCAGGTCTGATCGCTGTCACCTGAGGGAGGGGAGACGGTCATGAGCCCTTTGTCAGCCAAGAACTAGGGCAGGGGTAGGCAACCTGAAAGCCGCAGGACTACAAGTTCCATCATTCCTCTGCAAGTCATAGCTGTAACTCAGTTTTGTCATCTTTGCAATGCCTCATGGGAAATGTAGTTCCACAACAGCCAGAGAGCCGCAGGTTGCCTACCCCTGGCCTAGACCAATGCTGATCCTGTATGGTGTAGATCCATGGCGGGGATGGACAGAGTGCTGGGGTGGGGGATCCCCGCCAAGAGTACCTGTCATTGCCCCTCTTAGACTGAACTTTATTAACAGTAAATAGAAACGTCGGCAAGTTGTACTTGTCTGTTGAATAAGCTATTTCCGAAGTGCACAGGTCCTCTTTAGTGTACCGCTAGCAAGCTCACAGTGAAGGCTGCGGTTGGTTTAATGACTGTGGGGCCCCAATCCTTTCTGGTCTCCTGAAGACGCTGTCAGCCAATCATCTTGCTTGTAGCCATCGATCCGCCAATACCGGCCCATGTTATCTTCAGCCAAGCCGCTCACTGGCGACCAGCGACCCGCCGGGTGCGGCCATCGTGTGGAACCCGCCAATGTCCACACTGCCAACGTGCTTCGTGCCTCGTGATGTCGCTGGGGGAGGGGCGTCCTGGCTGGCGGGTGACAGGTACACTTTAATTGCATTCCTTGAAGCGATGCTCGCTGGTCACCTGCGGAGGGATCCTGTTCACTGATTGGTCAGATGTGATATTTATATAAAATGTTATAATTATTATATTAACCTGTTTATTTAAGTCTATAAAATGGTCGTTTCACTGACATCGGTGTCATCGTCTTCTTCTGAACATCACAACTTCCCCTGTATGGCTGTGCTGCAAATATCGGGGTTCCCACCATCCCTGTGCTGAGATCTCGGGTCTGTACACCTGCTGTGCCCATTATGAGGGGTTCCCACCATCCCTGTGCTGAGATCCCGGGTCTGTGCCCATTATGAGGGGTTCCCACCGTCCCTGGGCCGAGTTCCGGGTCTGTACGCCCGCTGTGCCCATTATGAGGGGTTCCCACCATCCCTGTGCTGAGTTCCCAAGTCTGTACGCCCGCTGTGCCCATTATGAGGAGTTCCCACCATCCCTGTGCTGAGGTCTCGGGTCTGTACGCCCGCTGTGCCCATTATGAGGTGTTCCCACCATCCCTGTGCTTAGGTCTCGGGTCTGTACGCCCGCTGTGCCCATTATGAGGGGTTCCCACCATCCCTGTGCCGAGTTCCCGTGTCTGTACGCCCGCTGTGCCCATTATGAGGGGTTCCCACCATCCCTGTGCCGAGGTCTCGGGTCTGTACGCCCGCTGTGCCCATTATGAGGGGTTCCCACCATCCCTGTGCCGAGGTCTCGGGTCTGTACGCCCGCTGTGCCCATTATGAGGGGTTCCCACCATCCCTGTGCTGAGGTCTCGGGTCTGTACGCCCGCTGTGCCCATTATGAGGGGTTCCCACCATCCCTGTGCCGAGTTCCCGGGTCTGTATGCCCGCTGTGACCATTATGAGGGGTTCCCACCATCTCTGTGCCGAGTTCCCAGGTCTATACGCTCGCTGTGCCCATTATGAGGGGTTCCCACCATCCCTGTGCTGAGTTCCCGTGTCTGTACGCCTGCTGTGCCCATTATGAGGGGTTCCCACCATACATGGGAACATCGAAGACTTCTAGGCAGGCAGGAGCAGAGCGAGGAATCATGGGCGGGAGATCCTCGTCAAAGAACAGGCAGTTTGGTGCACAAAATTTATTTCCTACCACTAGGGGTGCTCTTGCTCCATCTCCCGACCCTGATGAAGGGTCTCTTGGGGGCCCCTGAAATGCGTTGGTCGGGATAATATGAGGACATTAAAACTAGCCTGGTGAGGATTTTATTTTGGACTCTGACCCCATTGGGGAGATTTTGCCTCACTTCCTGTCCCTCTGATACCAGTACAAGGATTGGTAGGAGTTGTCACTCCGATGATGCAGGCAGTGGGTGGGCTCTTGGGAGGAGTCATGAATATGTATGAAAATGTCTTTATGGGCGGGTGTCAGTCTGGAGGAGTGGGCGTTCCTAGGCAGGCTTAATTTGCATGCAGACCGCCCACATGTGATACTGAGCCTCAATGGTTAAAAGAACTGAAATGCAATGAATGAAAGGGGCGGGGTCAGGGACAGTCAGTCCGGGGAGGAAAGTGCAAGATGATACTGGATGTTCTCCAGCCAGGAAATGAGGCGGAGCTCTCTCTGATTGGCTGCAGCTTCTAAAGAACATTGTGAAAATCTCCCAGTGTGCAGTAACATCAGAGGAAGACATGTCAGGCCAGGGAAGGAGCCGATACACCTGTGCAAGACTGAAGGGGAGGAGCCATACACCTGTGCAAGACTAAAGGGGAGGAGCCGGTACACCTGTGCAAGACTGAAGGGGAGGAGCCGCTACACCTGTGCAAGACTCAAGGGGAGGAGCTGGTACACCTGCGCAAGACTGAAGGGGAGGAGCCGGTACACCTGTGCAAGACTGAAGGGGAGGAGCCGGTACACCTGAGCAAGACTGAAGGGGAGGAGCCAGTACACCTGTGCAAGACTGAAGGGGAGGATCTGGTACAACTGCAAGACTGAAGGGGAGGAGCTGGTACACCTGTGCAAGACTGAAGGGGAGGAGCCATACACCTGTGCAAGACTGAAGGGGAGGAGCCGGTACACCTGTGCAAGACTTAAAGGGGAGGAGCCGGTACAACCTGTGCAAGACTGAAGGGGAGGAGCCGGTACACCTGTACAAGACTGAAGGGGAGGAGCCGGTACAACTGTGCAAGACTGAAGGGGAGGAGCCGGTACAACTGTGCAAGACTGAAGGGGAGGAGCCAGTACACCTGTGCAAGACTGAAGGGGAGGGGCTGGTACACCTGTGCAAGACTGAAGGGGAGGAGCCACACACCTGTGCAAGACTAAAGGGGAGGAGCTGGTACACCTGTGCAAGAAAGAATGAAGGCCCCCCCCGGGACATGAGAAGTAACAATAAACACTCCGCACAAACAAATATGTTTAAAAAAAAAAAACTTTATCAAAATGAATGTTCAGACAGTTCTCTACCTACAGAAAGCCGGCCGTACGGAGCCGACATCTACAATCTACGAATTACAGAAAACACAAATCCATCTTCATCTTCATTCCAGTTACTGAAACATAAAAAATACAAAATGTGATCGGAAGCGACTCGAGAGAAAAGGGAACGAAGCGCAACACCTGTGTGAGAAGCTTCCGATGGAAGCTGTCATTTCCAGACCCATGACCCGCTGAGATCCAGTGTGTTGTCCACAGGTCAGAGAGTGTCAGCTTCCATCAGAGGCTTCCAGGGGCGGACTGACCATTGGGGAACTCGGGCACTGTCCGAGGGCCCGGGGTCAGTAGGGGGCCCCATGAGATGTCCCTGGTACCTTTTCATAGACTTTTTTGGGTGTGCTTTGAGTGTGGGCAAGGACACAGGGGCCCCATGATCCCCTATTGCCCGGGGGCCCCATGAGTTGTCCGCCCCTGGAGGCTTCTAATAAAGAACGGATATCCTGAAGCGCAATCATCAGAGTGTATCTGAATGCAACAACAGGAACGGAATATTTGTTCGCTTCTGATCTGTGAAAATATATCACTGAGAGCATCCAGTTGTATCTGTTGACCCTGCCAGGAGTCCCCGCCCCCCTCCAATTCTATACTTAGATTGTAAGCTCTAAGGATCAGGGCCCTCTGTTTCCTGTACCAAATTGTATTCTGTTATGTCTACCTTCATTTTGTAAAGCGCTACGCAAACTGTTGGCGCCATATAAATAATAATAATTCTAATCAAAGGGGAGCCAATAAGAAAAAAATCATTGTTGGGGTGTACATAACCCTTTTTAAATATTGGAGTGCAATTTATTTTGTTTTTTTTATTTTTAAAATGTTTACTATTTCATTTTTTATTTTTAACATTTTTTTAATTGAAATTTATTAATTTAAGTTATTTTATTACATTCATTTTATTGAATTTATTTTTTGTTTTTTTTTCATTTAAATGTTTTATTATTTTATTTTTAATGTTTTGTTTTATTAAATGTTTAAATTGTATTTATTTGTTTATTGATTTTATTTAATTGATTTTATTTATTGAATTTGTTTATTGATTTTATTTAATTGATTTTATTTATTGAATTTGTTTTATTGCGTTTATTTATTTTTTATTTTTTAAATTTAATGTATTTATTGCATATATTTTATTGAACAAAATGCTTTTAATCAGATATTTAACAGATTTCTTGGATTGTAAGCTCTAACGAGCCGGGCCCTCTGTTTCCACTTGTACCAAATTGTATTCTAACTGTAATACTGTCTACCTTCATTTTGTAAAGCGCTGCGCAAACTGTTGGCGCCATATAAATAATAATAATTCTAATCAAAGGGGGAGCCAATAAGAAAAAAATCATTGTTGGGTGTGTACATAACCCTTTTTAAATACTTGGAGTGCAATTTACAATCATTATACAATGACAGAAATGAATTTATTTTTTAAATTTATGTAATTGAATTTATTTTGTTTTTATTTTAAAATGTTTACTATTTCATTTTATTTTTAACATTTTTTTTAAATTGAAATTTATTAATTTAAGTTATTTTATTACATTCATTTTATTGAATTTATTTTGTTTTTTTTTCATTTTAAATGTTTTTTATTTTATTTTTAATGTTTTGTTTATTGAATGTTTAAATTGTATTTATTTGTTTATTGATTTTATTTAATTGATTTTATTTATTGAATTTGTTTATTGATTTTATTTAATTGATTTTATTTATTGATTTTGTTTTATTGCATTTATTTATTGATTTTTTTTTTAAAATTTAATTTATTTATTGCATATATTTTATTGAACAAAATGCTTTTAATCAGATATTTAACAGATTTCTTAGATTGTAAGCTCTAACGAGCCGGGCCCTCTGTTTCCACTTGTACCAAATTGTATTCTAACTGTAATACTGTCTACCTTCATTTTGTAAAGCGCAGCGCAAACTTTTGGCGCTATATAAATAATAATAATTCTAATCAAAGGGGAGCCAATAAGAAAAAAATCATTGTTGGGGTGTACATAACCCTTTAAGTACTTGGGGTGCAATTTACAATCATTATACAATGACAGAAATGAATTTTATTTTTTACAATTATGTAATGGAATTTATTTTGTTTTTATTTTAAAATGTTTACTATTTCATTTTATTTTTAAAATTTTTTTAATTGAAATTTATTAATTTAAGTTATTTTATTACATTAATTTTATTGAATTTATTTTGTTTTTTTTCATTTAAATGTTTTATTTTATTTTTAATGTTTTGTTTATTGAATGTTTAAATTGTATTTATTTGTTTATTGATATTATTTAATTGATTTTATTTATTGAATTTGAACCCTTTAAGTACTTGGGGTGCAATTTACAATCATTATACAATGACAGAAATTAATGTATTTTTTACAATTATGTAATGGAATTTATTTTTTATTTTATTTTTTTATTATTTCATTTTATGTTTATTATTTTATTTATTGAATGTTTTAATTGAATGTATTTATTGATTCTATTGAATTGATTTTATTTATTGAATTTATTGAACTGATATGGGATTTATTGAACAGATACGACAAAACGCTTTTAATGGGATATTTAACAGACCTAAGTGGAGCCAATAGGAGAAGGTCAGTGTTGGGGTGTACATACCCTTTAAATACGTGGGGTGCAATTTACAATCATTATACAGAAATTAATTTACTAATTCAATTCATGTAATTGAATTAATTTAGTTTTTTTTTATTATTTTATTTTACTTATGTTTATTTCATGTTATTTTTATTATTTTATTTATTGAATGTTTTAATTGAATGTATTTATTGAATTGATTTTAGTTATTGAATTTATTTTATTGAACTAATATGGGATTTATTGAACAGATACAACAAAATGCTGTTAATGGAATATTTAACACACCTAAGGGGAGCCAATAGGAGAAGGTCAATGTTGGGGTGTACATACCCTTTAAATACTTGGGATGCAATTTACAATCATTTTACAATGACAGAAATGTATCTAACAGATCCGACCTCAGCCAGAATATTGTCAGTCCACCTCCTGCATCTAATAATAATAAATCTGAGCTCCGGCAGACAGAAGTGACAGATTCGTGCAGCAACATTATTTGTAATACAAGAGGTGTGAGTACCGGAATGTGGCCTGGTAATTCCCTTATGCAGTCCCTGTACAGCAGAGCTCACACTGGGAGAGGGAGAAGCAGCACAAGTAGCCAGGCAGATGTTCTGCTGTGCAATGAACATATTGAGAGGAGGAGAGAGTAGAGTGACGGAATGATGAGCTCATCGGTCCGCTGCTTCTCCTTTCGCTGCCTATCATAGGCTGGTGGTAGGGAAAAGGCCTGTAAGTGAAAGTGAAACTTCTCCCTTTCTAGGTGGCAGCTGGGAGTCACTAGTTCCAAAGTCTTTCCCAGGAGGGAGCAGAGGGGCCCTGGTGAGTAGCCTTCCTAGGAGGGAGCAGAGGGGCCCTGATGATGTAGCCTCCAAGGAGGGAGCAGACGGGCCCTGGTGATGTAGCCTCCTATGAGGGAGCAGAGGGGCCCTGGTGATGTAGCCTTCCTAGGAGGGAGCAGAGGGGCCCTGGTGATGTAGCCTCCTATGAGGGAGCAGGGGGGCCCTGGTGATGTAGCCTCCTATGAGAGAGCAGAGGGGGGCCCTGGTGATGTAGCCTCCTATGAGAGAGCAGGGGGCCCTGGTGATGTAGCCTCCAAGGAGGGAGCAGGGGGGCCCTGGTGATGTAGCCTTCCTAGGAGGGAGCAGGGGGGCCCTGGTGATGTAGCCTCCTAGGAGGGAGCAGGGGGGCCCTGGTGATGTAGCCTTCCTAGGAGGGAGCAGGGGGGCTCTGGTGATGTAGCCTCTTAGGAGGGAGCAGGGGGGGGCTCTGGTGATGTAGCCTCCTAGGAGGGAGCCTGGGGGGGCCCCGGTGATGTAGCCTCCTAGGAGGGAGCAGGGGGGCCCCGGTGATGTAGCCTCCTAGGAGGGAGCAGGGGGGCTCTGGTGATGTAGCCTCCTATGAGGGAGCAGGGGGGCCCCGGTGATGTAGCCTCCTAGGAGGGAGCAGGGGGGCCCCGGTGATGTAGCCTCCTATGAGGAAGCAGGGGGGCCCCGGTGATGTAGCCTCCTAGGAGGGAACAGGGGGGCTCTGGTGATGTAGCCTCCTATGAGGGAGCAGGGGGGGGGCCCCGGTGATGTAGCCTCCTAGGAGAGAGCAGGGGGGCCCGGTGATGTAGCCTCCTAGGAGGGAGCAGGGGGGTCCCGGTGATGTAGCCTCCTAGGAGGGAGCAGGGGGGTCCCGGTGATGTAGCCTCCTATGAGGGAGCAGGGGGGCCCCGGTGATGTAGCCTCCTAGGAGGAGCAGGGGGGCCCCGGTGATGCAGCCTCCTTGGAGGGAGCAGGGGGGGCCCCGGTGATGTAGCCTCCTAGGAGGGAGCAGGGGGGTCACCCCGGTGATGTAGCCTCCTAGAGGGAGCAGGGGGGCCCCGGTGATGTAGCCTCCTATGAGGGAGCAGGGGGGCCCCTGGTGATGTAGCCTCCTAGGAGGGAGCAGGGGGCCCCGGTGATGTAGCCGCCTATGGGGGCCCCGGTGATGTAGCCTCCTAGAAGGGAGCAGGGGGCCCCCGGTGATGTAGCCTCCTATGAGGGAGCAGGGGCCCCTGGTGATGTAGCCTTGTCTGGATGCTGCTAGGAGGCCCTGTCTTTGTCACCATTGCCTGTAGATATACAGAAGGTGAAGAATTCGATGTGTTTTGGGAGTGAATACTGCAGCTAAGGAACCCTTTGTGCCCATACAGAGATCTGGGGATAGAAGGTCGGCCTCGTTTCTGCTGAACCCGAATCCTCCCCGAGTCCCAACCAAAACCTATATGGCCGTCACACGCGCGGAAACATTTTTTTCCAGCAATAAACATAAAATTACATAAAAAAGACGATTGGAGCTTTTATATCCGGAAAAAAGATTAGAGTCGCTCCGACCAATGAGAGGAATGTATGAGGTGGGATCCCTTCCCGTGATTGGAGGATCAGAGCGCCATGTTCATTATAACACGTGAAGGCTTCACATGTTTTCTTCACACGCTAAACATACTCAACACACAAATGACACTTCTAACTGTCGCTGGCCGAGATCGGCAGCGTTTCGGCGTTGTTATCGGTGATTCCCGGCGTCGGCGTCTCACTTCACCTCCCTCTTGGACTTGTAGTGCGCCGAGACCACCAGGTAGGTGTCGGGACTCATGTCTTTGATGGTCGGTGATTTGTTCTGGACGGGGGAGGTCTTGCCGTCTACGCGGGATATCTGCAGCATCCGGCACGGGTCGTGTTTCAGCAAATAGCCGGCGAACGTTTCCCAGCCGCCTCCCACGCGGACCATCACGTGTTTGTTGTGAAGCATCTGGAAAGAGGAGAGATTCCAATCAAAGAAAAGTCTATTCAAATCCGAAAAGAATTGTATCACATAAAATGTATTATATACAGTCTATGATGATGAGGATTATTGTTAGTAATAATAAATACAAAAACTGCTATTATATCAAATATATTATATACAGTCTATAATATACAGTGAAGGAAATGCGTATTTGCTCCCCTGCTGATGGTGAATGTTCGCCCCTCACACAGAAACGATCGGTCTAACAATGGAATGTTCGCCCCTCACACAGAAACGATCGGTCTAACAATGGAATGTTCGCCCCTCACACAAAAACGATCGGTCTAACAATGGAATGTTGGGTGTAACACTGAGAGACAGAATACAACAACAAATTCAGCAGAAATGCGTCTAACAAATGATGACGGATCTGCATGTTCATGAGGGAAAGAAGGATTTGATCCCCTATCATTCAGCAGGATTTCTGGCTCCCAGGTGTCTTTCATACAGGTAACAAGCTGAGATTAGAAGCAGTCTCTTAAAGGGAGTGCTGCTAATCTCATTGTGTTACCTGTATAAAAGACACCTGTCCACAGGAGCCATCAAACCATCAGATTCCAAACTCTCCACCATGACAAAGACCAAAGAGCTGTCCAAGGATGTCAGGGACAAGATGGTAGACCTACACAAGGCTGGACTGGGCTACCAAACTATGGCCAAGCAGCTTGGTGAGAAGGTGACAACAGTTGGTGCAATCATTCACAAATGGAAGAAACACAAAACAAGTGTCAGTCTCCCTAGGTCTGGTGCACCATGCAAGATCTCTCCTCGTGGAGTGTCAATGTACATGAGAACAGTGAGGAATCATCCCAGAACTACACGTGAGGATCTTGTCAATGATCTCCAGGCAGCTGGGACCACAGTCACCAAGAAAACAATTGGTAACACACTACGCCGACAAGGACTGAAATCCTGCAGTGCCCGCAAGGTCCTTCTGCTCAAGAAAGCACATGTCCAGGCCCGTCTGAAGTCTGCCACTGAACATCTGAATGATGCAGAGGAGGACTGGTGGAAGTGTTGTGGTCAGAGGAGACCAAAATCCAGCTCTTTGGCATCAACTCAACTCGCCGTGTTTGGAGGAGGAGGAATGCTGTCTATGTCCCCAAGAACACCATCCCAACTGTGAAACATGGTGGTGGAAACATTCTGCTTTGGGGGTGTTTTTCTGCTAAGGGGACAGGACAACTGCACCGCATCAAAGGGACGATGGGTGGGGCAATGTACCCTCAAATCTTGGGTGAGAACCTTCTTCCCTCAGCCAGGGCATTGAAAATGGGTGGTGGATGGGTGTTCCAGCATGACAATGACCCAAAACACATGGCCAAGGCAACAAAGGAGCGGCTCAAGAAGAAGCACATTAAGGTCCTGGAGTGGCCTAGCCAGTCTCCAGACCTTCATCCTATTGTAAATCTGTGGAGGGAGCTGAAAGTTCGAGTTGCCAAACGTCAGCCACCAAACCTTACTGACTTGGAGAGGATCTGCCAAGAGGAGTGGGCCAAAATCCCTCCTGAGATGTGTGCTAACCTGGGGGCCAACTCCAGGAAACGTATGACCTCTGTGATTGCCAGCAAGGGATTTGCCACCAAGTACTAAGTCATGTTTTGTGAAGGGGATCAAATCCTTCTTTCCCTCATGAACATGCAGATCAGTCATCATTTGTTAGACGCATTTCTGCTGAATTTGTTGTTGTATTCTGTCTCTCAGTGTTACACCAAACATTCCATTGTTAGACCGATCATTTCTGTGTGAGGGGCGAACATTCCATTGTTAGACCGATCATTTCTGTGTGAGGGGGCGAACATTCAGCATCAGCCGGGGAGCAAATACGCATTTCCTTCACTGTATATATCATTTATTTATTATCATTATTATTATATTATTATTATAGTATAAAATATACCATATATTGTTTTATATATATATATATAGAGTTGTGCTCAAACGTTTCCCTCTATTGAAAATATGACTGATCTGCCAAAAAATGCTCTTTTATTGAAGGATGAGGATCATATGAAGGCATTTATTATCCAATAGTTGTTTGGCTCCTTTTTAAATCATAATAACAGAAATCACCCAAATGGCCCGGATCATAAGTCTCCGCCCCTGGATCATAAGTCTCCGCCCCCGGATCATAAGTCTCTGCCCCCTTGATCAGAAGTCTCCGCCCTCTGTATCATAAGTCTCCGCCCCTGGATCAGAAGTCTCCGCCCCCTGGATCTTAAGTCTCCGCCCCCTGGATCTGAAGTCTCCGCCCCCTGGAATGTTCGGCCTTGGTGCAGACGCACAAGGTGACACACACGGGTTACAATGCCAATTAGAGGTTACTGTCCCACATCTGTGGCTTTTATAAATTGCAATCAGTGTCAGTGTATAAATAGTCAATGAGTTTGTTAGCTCTTACATGGGAGCACTGACTAGGCTAGATACTGAGCCATGGGGATCAGAAAAGAACTGTCAAAAGTCCTGCGTAATAAGGTAATGGAACTTTATAAAGATGGAAAAGGACATAAAAAGATGTCCAAAGCCTTGAATATGCCAATCAGTACTGATAAATCACCTATGAAAAAGTGGAAAGTTCGGGGATCTCTTGGGGCTCCTTTACAATGGTGGTCATGGGAGACGGGCTCCTTTACATTGTTGGTCAAGGGAGACGAGCTCCTTTACATTGGTGGTCAAGGGAGAAGGACTAATTTACATTGATGGTCAAGGGAGAAGGACTCCTTTACATTGGTGGTCAAGGGAGACAGGCTCTTTTACATTGGTGGTCAAGGGAGAAGGGCTCCTTTACATAGGCAGTCAAGGGCGAAGGGCTCCTTTACATTGGTGGTCAAGGAAGAAGGGCTCCTTTACATTGATGGATGAGGGAAAGGGCTCTTTTACATTGGCAGACAAGGGGAAAGGACTCCTTTACATTGGTGGTCAAGGGAGAAGGGGCTCCTTTAAATTAATGGTTAAGGGAGAAGGGCTCCTTTACATTGGTGGTCAAGGGAGCAGGGCTCCTTTACATTGGTGGTCAAGGGAGAAGGACTCCTTTATATTGGTGGCCAAGGGAGAAGGACTCCTTTACATTGATGGTCAAGGGAGAAGGACTCCTTTATATTGGTGGTCAAGGGATAAGGGCTCCTTTACATTGGCGGTGAAGGCAGATGGGCTCCTTTAAATTGGTTGTCAAGGGAGAAGGGGCTCCTTTTTATTGTCAGTCAAGGGAGAAGGGCTCCATTAACTTGGTTGTCAAGGAAGAAGGACTCCTTTACAATGGTGGTCAAGGGAGAAGGGTTCCTTTACATTGGTGGTCAAGGGAGAAGGGCTCCTTTACATTGGTGGTCAAGGGAGACGGGCTCCTTTAAATTGATGGTCAAGGGAGAAGGGCTCCTTTACATGGTTGTTCGTCAAGGTAGACGGGCTCCTTTACATTGGCGGTCAAGGGAGGACTCCTTTACATTGATGGCCAAGGGAGACGGGCTCCTTTACATTGATGGTCAAGGGAGGACTCCTTTACATTGATGGCCAAGGGAGACGAGCTCCTTTACATTGGTGGTCAAGGGAGAAAGGCTCCTTTACATTGGTGTTCAGTAGAGAAGTGCTCCCTTACATGGGTGGTCAGTGGAATAGGCCCCTTACATTGTAGGTCATTGTAGAAGTGACCCCTCACATTGGATATACCATTGCCCCATTATAAATAATGCTCAGTGTAGGACGGAGACAGTCCACCACTTATTGCTCAGGGAACCCCTAGTGACCTCTGGAGGAACCCTAACATCCTACAGAACCTGCCTGAGAAAGACTTCTCCAGGATTTATTTGTCTTTCATGTTTTATTGTATTCCGTTGTTTATGCCGGGAGCTCCGGGCACTTTGCACTTTTCCACCCACTGAAATTTTATAAAATTTGAATGATTTGCGCCGATGATCTGTGCATTATTATCACCTCTACGAAGGTCCCTCACGGCGGGCGACATTGACGGGCCACGTGAGACGCGGGATAATCAGATTGTGTTCTGTGAGAGGTCAGACGGGATGTGATGAGATTTCTGGACGCCGCTTTTCACTCTCAGTAATTGTTCTTAAGTTCCCAGCGGAATCCCGTCCCAGCGCCCCGGGGCTTCCATACGCCTCCTATCAATTGTGAAGGCGCAATATGGATTTTTTTTTCATATCGAGCTACAAAATGACATTCGGATGGAAGTAGCGGGCTTAAGGGGGATTCTGGAATTTTCATATCTCCATTCACGATTGCATTGCGGTAACGCAGGAATGCATGGGATTGCACCGCACGGCAACACATTCATGAGTGCAAGGCCAGGGATGGGACAGGCACCTATTTTGGGTGCACTCTGGTTTGTTGGGCAGTGCAATCAAATAAACAGACTGAATAAATGCAGCGTACATTGATGAACAATGTAACATGCCAACATTTGTGTTTCAACAATGTGAATGGGCCACCTGCTACATCAGGGGTCTACAAACTATGGCCCTCCAGGTGTTGAGGAACTGCAAGTCCCATAAGGCCTTGCAAGACTCTGACAGCCACAGGCTCCCCCCCCCCCCCCCCCTTTACATTGGTGTTCAGTAGAGAAGTGCTCCCTTACATTGGTGGTCAATGGAATAGGGTCAATGTAACGTGTCAACATACGTGTTTCAACAATGTGAATGGGTGATCTGCTACATCAGGGGTCTACAAACTATGGCCCTCCAGGTGTTGGGGAAATGCAAGTCGCATGAGGCCTTGCAAGACTCTGACAGCCACAGGCTCCCCCCCCCCTTTACATTGGTGTTCAGTAGAGAAGTGCTCCTTTACATTGGTGGTCAATGGAATAGGGTCAATGTAATGTGTCAACATACGTGTTTCAACAATGTGAATGGGTGATCTGCTACATCAGGGGTCTACAAACTATGGCCCTCCAGGTGTTGGGGAAATGCAAGTCGCATGAGGCCTTGCAAGACTCTGACAGCCACAGGCTCCCC